AAAAGAAATAAGGGACCGAGTAGATGATAGAAATATAATGAATATTATATAGACCAACTAGCGAAAAGCAAAACTGAAGAAGTAGAATGAGTGACCGAGAGAGGCCAACTAGCTAAATATGTTATAATGATCAATATAATAAAGACATAGTAGAAAACCATAGATTAAACAAGGGAAAGGTATGCCGAAAAAATGAATTATTTTCGTGATTTATAAATGAATATGATATAGAAGTATGAAAGACCCCACGAAGTTGGAGATGGATCAAACAGGAAGATGGGACTAATAGCATCACCATGGGAAATTCCCCTACTCAAAGGCAAGCAAGCAAGGAGGCAGAAGACGAAGGGAGTGGGAAGGACAAGGCATGTAAATTCATGCATTCAGTTATTGCTCTTTTCCGTCTAAATGAGAGGAAACTTAGCTACTGCTGGACCATCCACATGACCTCTCGTTACATGCGAGCAAGTCCATAAGCATAGACGAGATATATTCAGAATCAATTTAACAAGGTCCAAAACCGGACTTTCGATGAGTATATCTAGTTTTGACTTGAGGAAAAGGAGAATATGGAACAAAAACTTTGTTGACCAAAAGGTTCGATGGTGAAGAATCTCTAGTTTCCATTCTGAAGCATGATAGGGAACTTAGCAACTGCGTGACCATCAAGTCTACAAGCCTAGATGAGATGTATTCAGAAACACTTTCAAGGAGGTCAAAACGAGACTTCCATGAGTACATCCTAGTTCTGACATGTGACATTGGGGAATATAATTAACAGGTAAGAGACCAAGAGTTTCGAGTTTCCATTCTGAACAGGGCAGGGACAACAGGGTTTTGCGTATTATTGTAGATCTAAATTGGGCATGATACACACAAGTTGTTAGAATTCCAGTGAAGTAGGAAACAGCGACGTTTGGCACACAGAAATGTTTATGATTATTATGAAAGATGTTACGTCTGGATTCTCTGTGGGCACATCTCTTACACCGTACCTGGTCGATCTCAAGATATTCATTTTCATGTCAGCCACAAGCGAGACCTTAAGACAAGTTTGTAGCTCACATGCAATCTGAACCAAAACTTTGAAGATTGCTGTGTAAGATTACCTGTCGTTTTCTAGCAGGGTTTAGTTTGGTGAGTTTGGGATTTGGGTTGGTGGGCTTTTGACTCTGCCTGCGGGGTCTCTGATTACGAAATCCTCATACCAAAAGGCATGAAAAGGACCTTAAGGAAGTTAACCTGGTTGCATCTGAGACACTGATTATCTTGGTAGGAGTAATGACATACATATCACAGGAGTAATGACGACAGTGGCAGGGATATTCAGTTCACTAGGGCCTGAAAACTGTCAGAAATTCCCTGAAGGATATTCCGCTGTTTCCAGAGCAGAACCGTCTATTCGTCGAACCCTCACTCCAAATCACTGCTACTGTGCACCAAATAGATTAAGGAAACGAAAATGAAAAATAAAAATAAAGAAGATGATGATTTCTCTTAGTTTTTGATTATGAATTATTTTGGGGGGTCATAACTGATGACATGGTAAAATATTAAAAACATCATCCTTATTGGATCGGTTAATAAACTATTTGGAAATTTAAATCCTCTGGAATATCGTGCAGGTACTTACTCTCATGATTCATATAGTACACCTTTTCATTCATAACCTTCGAAATATCTTCATTTCAAGTGACTAGGAACCCCGCTTTTTTTTCCTTCGTTTTTCTTCGGTTTTGCTTGCCCAGTTGGACAGTAAAACGTGAAGGTGTTATATTCCTGTTCAACCCTTTCCTTCCTCAGGAGGGACTTTCATCCGCTGGTCATAGCACTTAAGAAGAGGCGCAAGCATGACACATGGCTTCTTTCTTAACCTTCTCCCACCTCGTTTTTCTTTTATTCCATATCCGAATTTACAGTTGAGAGTATCGATCCTCCTTAGAACTCATTTACCACAATTCTTCGGGCATGCTCGTCTTATGATATATATTTATATTATCATCGACTGTATTATTATGTTTCCCCACAAATTAGAATATCCCTGTCTGATGTATCATTCATTCACCAACTATGTGTTAGGATTACCTGAATGCTGCAGGTTACCTTATAACATCACATCGAAGCCTTACGGAGTGTCATCATGTTCAGCAGAGGTCGGTGCCCGTGGGACCCATGAGTTCCACAAAGTTGGTGCATGGGCCCCACGGGCGACGAGGACTGGTCCGTCATCAGACGGCTCCGGCGACTGAATTTAGTGTGACTAGACAAATTCTGGCTTCGAGGTGCAGCAGTTTTAAATCGTTTCACGACAGACCTGACGTCTGTCTGAACTTTCTTGCACCTTCCTGTCGAGTCCCCGTCTCGACCTGCCCATGCAACCCCAGTGTTTCCTCAAGCTCTTCATTCCTCGGACTTGGTCCCTGATCTATGCGACATCTTCAGAGACTCCGGACTGATTGATGACATTCTCATTTCAAGATTTAGCCTCAGGTAGGAAAAGGACGGGAAGAACCACCACAACAACACGGATGAATTCGCATGGTAAGAGAAGGCCAGACCGTTACTGTACATCGTCGCCATTGACGCAATCTACGTCACTGAATTTAGCATACATGAACTATTTGAGTATCAGTAATACAAGAGTCCATCGTAAAGATTATTTACCATGGATTTGAATGTTCACTATATACCAGGACTCCTAAAATCTGGCGTTCTATTTTAGAAGCCAGCATTAATATTATATTCAGACTGCGGACTACAATGTGCTCTAATTGACAATATGTGCCCATATTCTCGGTAGTACTAACTCGACAGTGTAGAGCAAGTTGAGCACGAAAGAAATAGAGTAAAGTGGAAAATACCATTCGCGTGGGTTTCATATTTTTTTTGAATTTCATTTCTGTAACAGGTTTCTTTTCTTTTTGATCATTGTGAGTATTTTCTTGGCTGGAAAAAAATGCCCAAGTGCATTTCATACATTTTTTTCACTTTTTTTCTCGTTCATTTAAATTTTCCAAATAAAACGTTCTTAAAACGATTTATCCATGATCAAATGGGAAAAAGATGACTGTCGCACCTTTCTTGACTGGTATTATGTATTCGAAGCAATTCAAAATGATTATCTCCAAACCATCGAACTAAAACGAACCAACCATCGAACCAAAATTAGGGATTTTTTTTTGCTAGAATTGAGTTAATTCTGGCAAACGTGGCATTTGCCAGAATTTAGGAGGTCTGCTGTATACATTGGTATATAGCGAACACGTCAGTTGTAATAATTTGAAACTTTTGAAATTTAATTTTAGGATTTGGATAAAAAATATGTTCGTTAGAGTGAACATTCATAATTTTGAATAAAGCCAATATTATAATAGTATAAAAGAATACATCCATTATGAACGATTCATAGAGAAGTTCTCTATGAGAACCAATCATAAATCTTATACATACCCAATATCTTATATACGTACATCTTTGGTGATGATCTCTATCCACATGCAACGAGTCATATCTTCATGCACATAGGAGCCGTTGCACCCGGAATAATATCACGTTTCTCCGTTTTGAGTAGTAATTGAAAGTAATGAAAATTGAAATGGAACTCATTACACTCCCTAATCTCTTTATTCGCGGATGCACATAAATTTTCAGTAAATTCAACGTCATGACTAATTAGATATCACGAATGTATCTTTATGAAGGTCAAACTTTATCAATTCACAAAGTCTTTATATTGCGCTTTAATCGTGTTAACAAGGCTATTACTGAACGTGAAAACTATTATTGGCCCCGTACCAAAATACAAGTGACAAGTTGAAATAAGAATCGCCAAATGTCAATGTTTAACTCTAGTATATATATAACACATGGCTCACTCTAACATTTTCAAAAGGAGTGATTCTCCTTTTGCTAGTGATTTGGCCACATGGAGATTTCCTATTGCTTATGAAGAGATGCGTCTCTAGCCACAGTACTGTGTACCGAGCATTGCTACGTGCGATAACGTGAGTGGAAGTGAGGAACCTGATTAAAATATATTACAGCCCATTTCGTATTACTCAAGAAACTCTAACTATGCTTCCGCTTCACATTAGGAATTTATAATTATTGATACCCTTTCCAACTTCTCGTCGAGCTAAAGGCCAGCTAAATTTTCATAAAAATCTCGGGGCGCCAGAACTTGCGGTTCATTACTTCTTTTCTGAATCGCTAGGAACCAGAAGATTCAGATCCATGTCATTCCGCGTCTAACAACATCTCACAAGAATATGTAAAAGCTTGACTGACGGAAACCACAAATTTCTCCTCGAGCATAAACACGTAAGTTCTCGATGAGTCCAGCGGCGGGAATTGAGAGAATATTTCATGCTGCAGAAGGGGAGAGCACGACTTGTCATGTCCTTCTGAGCGTCATTCGAGCTCGAGGAGACGTCTAATGTCGTAATATACTACGTTAAATTACAGAAGACGAGCACTGTGATTAGTTCCTGGCACCCTTTGAACTGATGAGGGATATGGGGAACCCCCAAGCAACGGGGAAGTCATGTAGGCATCAGCCATACCCTTGCAGATTTGACAGACGAGCCATCCATAAACCAAAAGGTTCTGACGACTCTGTCGCCCAAGAAGGAGGGGAGAGGACAATGACGAGACATGTCTCGTCCGACACGTACGTACCTCACGGTTCGGCTCCGGGTTCCACTGGAGCTCAGAGTAGTACGAGTACTGCAAATTGACGAGGTTGCAGGGAATCATTGCGGATCAGATTGCAGAACGATCGCAGCCGCAGCAATGCAGCAGACGCCCCTACCATTAGACTGGGGGAGGGGGACCGGGCCCAGTGCTGGACCAGCAGAGATGGAGTCAGCGCAGTTGATATGAGGACAACTGCGGCGACTGGGCCGAATGGCTACGACTCTTACCCCACGGAAGACGCCGGTCGGAGTCCGGGATCATGGAACGGATGCAATTATAAAACTGTATGATCACCTGTCCATCCCACCATCGGTGCAGGCTTGTGGAGGACCGAAGCTTCTCAGGACTCTTCAAGTATCTTACATCAGAGTAAGCCGAGCTCTCGAACTTCGCGAAAATTGATCTGTCTATTTTCACATCGGTCGACACCAACCGTAAGTTCGCTCGCTGACCTCACTGCTCACTGTATTGTGTATTGTAAATGGGTACGCATGTAGAATCGACTGCTTTCGCGATCTCGACTGTCAATTGAACATTCGAGTTCGCGTGCAGAATATTCAGATCTATCTTTCTGCTGTCACAGGGTAAAGGATGGAGCTGACCAATGGGAAGCACGAGCGACCTCGACGAGCTCATGTGCTGATGGTGGCCGCGGGTGGGCAGGGGCATTACTTCCCTTTTCTGCAAATGCTGTATCAGCTGAGCACTCCTCGATACGTAGATCGAGTAACCGTCACCTTTGTCAACAGCCAGGAGAGCCTCGTGGGCTTCGCGGCGCGCAAGGAGAATGGCGAATTCGGAAGCTTGGAATTGCGATTCCAGGCCCTGGTACCGGCAGCTCCTTGCAAACCGAGTGGCAGACCGGGCCCAGAAGATTTCGCCAACAGAGTTGAGAAGGAATTCGAACCCTTGAAGCAGAAGTACTTGTCCGAGAAAACCAACGCCGATGGCCCTACTTGCATTATTGGGGACATGTTTTTCAGCTGGCTTTTGGTACGTGCCTATCATTAGTCCCCCATTATTAGAGTCTGCTGTCCTCGTTTTGCAGCCCTCTCACGCGAGCCTCGAGAGTTTCTCTGGCCATGGCCAATGTGCCAACCAAAAGTGTCCTTATTGTCCGAGAGCGTGTGAGGGCATGAACACAATTCCGAGCCCGGACAATCAATCAATCAAAGAAGCAGTTTTGTGAAGGCTACAAGGTTCCCCACAGAGAGTTTCAAGATGCAGTTGGGCACAATCTCGTGAACGATATAATTAAATCTATCGACCCGTCGATTTGGCTGACATTTTCGTGAATCTGCTGCTGACAGTATCTAGCGGACGAACTGAACATCCCTTGGATTCCGATCTACCCTGCCTCATCATGGTACACCTACAGCTGTCTCGTGGATGCCAATCCCATCTGGCGGTCGAAGGATCCGGACGTAAGAAAGCAGACAGCTCCGGGACTCAACTTCTGCCGGGTTTTCGACTACCCCGAGGACATTCCGTATTTTGCTGAGTTCTTCGCGAAGAAAAGAGAACGCCTCGAGAAAGCCTCGACCATCGTGATCAACGTTGCAGAGGAATGGGATGCACCGACCGGATGCCTCGCTCTGACTCGAGACCTGCTCGAAAAGAAGGCAATCGCCGAGAACAGACCGGTGAGTGAATCATTCTCAAGGAGAGCAGAACCGTTCTCAAACTCAATCTCTTCGAGAAGGCGCTCGCTGCCAACATTTGCAAAAGGATGGACTCTGTGCTTCTGTGATTAAGCCACTGCTACTTGTAACAAGACGAGCTTGCTCAGAACATTTGGGGAATTCGGTCGGCGTTCGGCTGTGGCTTGAACTGTGGCTTGCGTGGTGCAGGTGCCCAAAGTCGTTGCAGTGGGTCCAATGGTGAACATTGAGGGCATGACTTATACTCCACCTTGCAAAATGGCGGAACCACAGAGAGCACAGTGCTTTTCTTGGCTGGACCAGCAGCCTCCCAAATCGGTGTTGTACGTCGCTTTCGGAACCATCACCAACCTGAACCCCGAGGACATGGTGGAGCTCGCCCACGGCCTGGAGGATAGCGGCGTGTCGTTCTTGTGGGTCATCAAAGTTCCGGCTAACGAGACTCTGGAGTCCGTCCTTCCTCCAGGTTTTCAGGAGAGGATTAAAGGGCGAGGTCTTCTCGACAGGAGCTTTGTGCCGCAGTCAAAGATCTTGTGTCACCCTTCCATAGCTGGATTCATGTCCCACTGTGGGTGGAACTCCAGTATGGAGGGCATCTGCGCCGGAGTGCCGCTGCTAACTTATCCCTTGGGCCTCGACCAAATAGTGAACGCCAGGTTAGTTGTCTCTCTGCCACGCTCTGGATTGTCAGTTGCTCTATCGTCTGTATCTCCCGATGATTTTCCAAGCTACAGCTGCTAATCAGACATGCAACGAGAGCTCGTCTTTTCCAGTGCTGACCTCAAAACTGCTTTATGAGCCCACGATGAGCAGTGATTGACACATCCCACAAAATCTTCCTAGACAACGCATGCGCCTCACAGCTTTAGCAATCTGGAGAACACTAAGCTTACTAAGCAGTGACATAGGGCCAGCAAGTTACAACTTGGCAGTAAGGTTTCGAACTAGTAATATACGTCAAGGGGAAAGTTTACGGGACTGACGAGTTGGTCTGTGTTTCTGGCGTGTGCAGGTTCGTGGTTAATGTTTGGAAGGCAGGCATAGGACTAAAGAAAGAGGATGAAGAATATTGCACCAACAAAGTTACCAGGGAAGAAGTGACAGAGGCGATTAATACGCTAATGATTGGAAATGTAGCCGAGGAGTTAAGAAGTAATGTCCAGATGTTGCGCAGTCTAGCAAAAGCAGCTCTGGCAGAAGGCGGTTCTTCCCATAAAGCCCTACACTCTTTCTTAGGAGAGATAACGAGTCCCGCTCAATAAGGATCCCATTCACTTCCCCTTTACAAAATGTTTAAGACAGTGTTTGTAATCTTAAATCTTTTTATTGGAGGATGTATAAAAAATAGACAAAGAAAGAATATTCGAATTCAACAGAAGATGTTGCAGTGGAACTTTATAAACACCTACATGGCATAGGTGGCACACGACGTACCTCCTGTCCGGAGGGCACATCTCAAGGACCAAGGGAGTGGAGGAATGAGTTGGCTTGCTCGCTTAGGGACATGCCGAGAATTATCTTTCATTTTGTTGTACACTGCCGGAGTTCATGATCTTTTCCCCCACTTCCTTCCTTCCCCCGGTGCGAATCATATCTGATTTGTATGTTCATTCTTCTAAATTATGTATCTGCGGAAGCTATTTATGAACGTGCCCGGGGCAAAGAGTTGACTTCGATAATCTGCCAGGTGACTGAAAAAAAAAATCATCGGCCTTTTGCTCCTCTATATATCTCAGGTGGACTCGAGCTCAGGTCTAACCCGGAGAGAGAGTACTTGGGAGCCAGTCCAAGACGAAACTTTTGCCCCAACATTCATGTTCATGCCATTTTCTTAGACTTGTTCTTGCTGTGCATGAGTACAAAGTCAGGATTGCTGCCGTGATTAACCGGGTGGGACTATCGGTGGGACTATCACGTTGACCTCTTCAACGTCGATGTGTACGGAACTTATTCGGGCATTTCTAGAACACAACACCTCACTTCACTTTTCTGAGGTTATAGACCCTTCTGAGGCTTGTAGGGAGCGATTTCATTCTTTGTCCTCAAACGTTGGCCGTCAGGCAAACTACAAACTACTCGCTTACTAAAAAGGGAGGAGAATCTCACACAAATTTACGCCATCAGGGAAGGAATTTCCGGCCATCTTTTTCCATGAGAGCTATCAACATACCGAATGAAAGACATTTGTAACAGTGGTGAAAATCGCACTGATGAGAGCCAAGTCCGATTTCCAATCTTGAAGGGCAACTTTAGCTTTTAATTATATTATAAAGCACTAAGAACTGGAGGCGTGGTCGAATTTCATGAAACATGTTTTCCATCCCTCAATGCTCTACTCGTTCGGACTCGTCATTCATATTAAAGTGAATATTACGAACAGAGAGGAAAAAACGACTGTGGTGTTGGACACTGAAATACTTTTTTCATTCACGACAAGAAATGTAATTGATGACCGTGTATGACATAATATCCACTTTGTTTGTTCTCCCCGAGCCAAGACACGGCCCAAAAGATTTGGAGGAGCTGTCCAAATTTATCTAGATATATGAGTACTCATTTCAAATAAATAATTATTTATAAATAATCTGCAGAGTTAGGGACTTCAATATTGCTGGAGGAAATTGTGTCAATTTCAGGAGGATGTTCGAGATGTGTGTAAGAAGCAAGGTATTCTTGGTTCAAACCGAGTCAAGAGGACAGCGAAGACTATAAGAAAACCATATCGAAAGAAAACTAGGAATACTAAGAAAACTGGGTACCGATATTATCGTGAGGAGAAATCTATCATGAAGCACCAACATTTCAAAAGTGACTCGTATGCTTTGCCAAAAAACCATCTCGATAGTTACAGATTAAGTTCCACGACTATTCCGTAATGTGTTATTTGTGATTATATATATAATCAAAAGACTACAGACAGTTCATGTTTTAGAAAGGACCAATGTGATATGTAACTTCATATGCTTCTATATGGAGGATACTTTTAGGAATGAATTAAGGTAAAACCTAGTAAAATAAAGAACAAGCACTAACTCAATACTGCTTATTAGAATGCACATATTACTATTTTGTCGGAAATATTGGAAACGCCTGAAGAAGATACTTACTGATGAATAAATAATTACATGTAAACAGTTTTCCCGATGTGAAACCTTTCGTAAAACTTTCCACAAAATGAAGACAGTATAGCGAAACACTCAAGTCTGCCAAGATTCTTTTTGGCCAAGACATGGACGAGTCCACTTGAATCACAATCACTCCCATGTTCCTTCGCTAGACGATGAGGCACAACCACGCCTGAAGTTCCGACTTATACACCATAAGAACTCTCCCAAACCAGATGTACAGTAACCTCCCACTTAATTACGCACCCGTTTAGGTATGCATTAAGTACACAATTGATCAGACTATTTTCACGTATCAACATTTTTAATGAATTCACTGTAAAATTCAAAGACTTTATTGTAAATTTTAAAGATTTCAATGTAACATATAGTGAATTGTAACCGGAGGCATGTTCTTTTTTTCTGCATTTGGATTTAATTACTTCAGCTCTTACCTTAGCTCTAAATACTTCAAACGATCTTTTGAGATCGTCCATTGAATCCTGTAATTTTATTTCAATTATAGAACAGAGCAATTGATACTTAATATCAAGAATCTTTTTATACTAGGATTCAAATCTATGAAAATCAATCCTATCTTGTGAATCTATTATCTCCTCGGGTCAACTTATATCCTCGTTATCAAGATTTGCTTTATCAATCCTCGTCGAGTTTAACAATTCCTCAATGATGTAGCATATTCTTCATGGTTTCCGTCGTCAATGTGAACAAAATTGATAAATTTAAGTTGAAAATTGTTTCAGCTAATTCAGCGACAATCAAACTAATTTTGATCTCAACCTTTGATTTGTATTCTAAATTCATGAGCTCTACACTACAAAATACATTTCTTATAGAACTTGACGAGATCCAATCCTAACTGTCTTTCACATAACTTGCAGCGTCAATAGATGTGCTGAATTTTTGTAAAAAACTACTGCTGCATCTTGTCATTATCCTTTTCCAATTCTCTTTTCCGCTCCTTCGACTCCTCGTCAAGCTTGTAGAAGTCGAGTATATACTTGAGATTTAAATATTTATATTGTATCTTAAGAAAAAAATTAATTTTATATCACAAGGTTGTTTACAACTAGTACAGTTCAGAGAAATAAAATACCACATGGATGTTGTCACGTTCAAAAGCATCGAAGTGTCCTAGCGCATTATTCATCAATAAAAGAACGCAACATACTATTTGTCTTTTGATTTGTGGAACAAAAGCTTTGTTGAACCATCTTCAACAGGTATTCATGTTCATCAAGGCCTTCACTTGATTGAAATAAAGAATTGGCAAGTGTTGATCTTTGATACACGTTGGATTCTTTTGCTTTCCAATCATTACGCAAGAAATTTTATGTGATCCAGAAGCCTTCACACAAACTATCATAGAAACACGATCTTTCGATTTTTTTAAACTCTCTTGTTTGATATATACTCGTCAGGCAAAAAGAATTGAATATCTGGGAATAAAACAAAAAAAAATCATGTTTGTCAATGTTTTACACGTTATCAAGATTAAATTGAGCGATGATGAGAGATAATACTTCCAAGACTGATAGTAATCCAACATCATTCTTGTCAACCTTTGCACATTCTCTATAGAAGCATATTCTGCATACCTCGACGATGCAACGATCAAACCATTGTCATGAGGCCTTAAAATCTATATCAGAAATTAATAATGTAGAAGCAATACCTTTTGGATTTGCAATTGCAAAAGAAAACGGTACAAGAAACCTAGCACGACGCATGCTGTCAATCCACATGTACAACATTTCTTCAAATTCAAAAAATCTTCCAATTGAAGCTCTGAACGTAATCTGCCTCGTTTCTGCGAAGAGTAAAGCTGATGGTTTGATAATGAAATCTCATTTCTTCCATATTTTCCTTATAGCACCTTTGCTCATACTCATGCCCTAAAGCGCGTTTGCTTGGAGTATTTTCTTTTTTCAGATTTGAAATAATCATATCGTTGGAATTCGTTCAAGCGCTTGGTGTTTGATTTCTTCGACATTGGGGCTCTACGCAAGGTTAAGTACGTACAAAAATTTAGCGTTCAAGGTGCTTACTTAAGTGGGAGACTACTGTAACTCGAGAACAAACCATAGAAACAAACAGTGATGCTCAGAGCTGCTGTACTTACTGCTGTGTCAAGTACTTATTCCATTTCCAACACAAGCAAGGGGAAACGAGGATTTGGGTGTGGGAGGTGAGAGTGAAGGTGAGCTCAAGTTGTAATATTCTTGTTGGCATCCAACGGCAACAGCTAAACGAAGAAGTGACACCCGTATGCGTTCGTTGACAGATATTGGGATTCCGTCCTACAAAGTAGTGCGTGCCTATTAGTGCCAACAATGCGATCGAAGCTTCACACGGGGAGGGAGGACGGGAGAGATAGATATGAATTTGAAAAGTGGACTTATTTGTAAGTGTAAGGTATTGATGCTCAAGCCTTAGAGCAGAGCATATGGGGTCTAGCGGGGAACTCCAGAAAAGTAGCTGCATCCAGTTCGTACCAGCCGCTCGTCGTATGATATACTTCATGCAACGATCTCATTGGAAACCATGAGAGACATATTTGGACCCAAATATCCTGAATATAGAAACTGATGGCAGACGCTGTGGGCTCGATGGAGGTCTCAGAAGATTTATTCTCTTGCACCAAGCGCTTGTCGAGATCGAGAGCGAGTTTGTGAACGTCAACCGAATGTGTGATCGTGACCTTCCCGAGCTTCTCTTTCCTTCACAAGTCACCAGACACCAAACACTCCACCAAACCTCAACGACCCCCTCCTCGCTCGCTCCACGACCACAGAGCGAAACAACAGTAAGATTCATCGGCACCGGACCAGATGTGAGGGAATCACTAGATCTGAGCAGCTCGAAGACTTCCTCACGCTCAGCTCAGCTCAGCGCATGTCGTACGTGGTCACAACACTTGAAGAGCCGAGACGCATGCGGCGCCTGAACTTTCCGTCCACCCGAAAGCCCGGGCGAGATTTGTTGCGAGCGATGGAAAAGCGAGCGCCTTTCTTCGCGTGATATCCTTCAACCCTCTCTCCCAGACCCGACCTCTGACACGAGGCCTCGCAGCATCACGTCGGTTTTGTTTGGAGTCAACCTCTGCCTGCCTGCCTGCCTGCCGACGCCATGGGATATCGGCCAACATGCGATGCGTCGCATGTCCCGGCTCCAAGCCGAGCGGGATTCTCGCAGGATGTGATGTGGGTTCATGAGAGAAGAGAATTTTTGGGAAGTGGTGAGTGCACTCTCGACTCCCTGGCGACTTCACACATGGAGCTCGAGCAACAGCAGCAGCAGCAGCAGCAGCAGCACGAGCACGCAGGCCACAGTCGTTCGTGAAACATTCATTCCTTTGGAATGTGTGCGTCTATCTTCTCGGGCCCTCAAAGAGCCGTCGGGCCGACTGTCGGACCGCGAGGACGGCCTCACGCCCACGAGATAATCGGACCTCGGCCTCCCCGAGACGAGAAGAGAAGCGAGGCGAGGAGTGGGTGGTACCCCCGCCACGTTACAAACAAAGCCGAGATCCACGCAGCCTTCTCCAGGCCCAGTGTCCGGTGCTCTCGTCTCTGGAATCCCTCGAACTCTGCGATTCCCTCAGCTGCTTCCTCCGTTTCCCTTTTCACCAGAGCCCCCGCAACTTTCACCCCATCACTCGATCCATGTCCCAGCGATTCAGTCTCGCTCCCTGCTGCTCAAGTCCCCGACTCTGAGCGAGCTCCGTGCGGACGCAGTCACAGTCATTGCACCCGAGGGTTGTAGGCGACTTGTAGATCTAACCTCTCATGATTGTCCGGAGAGAGAGAGAGAGCTACGGAGTGAACAAACTTTGCTTTGCGATCAGCATCTATCTCCTTGCATGGGAACGACGCAAGGAGATGCTCCGAGATGAGGAGACTTACTCGAGCATGACCCGTTCATGGCTCAGGGAGAAGAGGAGTCTGGATAATCAAAACAAGAGGGCCTGAAAGTTGTTCGCCTTGCACTTCCGAGAAGTCGGCAGTTGTGTGTCGTGTTGTTACTCGGGTTAACTTTCAATTACATCGTCTAAAGCGAGGTCACGTACATCTGTGGCGTGGGCAAAAGCTGGCGTTTCTCGGATTCCACCTTGCGGACCGAGTGCGCGGTAGTAGTACTAGTAGTAGTAGTAGGAGGAGGAGGAGGAGGAAGAGGCTCGAAGACAAACGACGTTCCAACTTTTCGACGACCAGCAGCAGCAGCTCTGGCAGCTCCGGAAGGAATGCCTTCGCGGCCAAAACTCTTCGATTTTGTGTTTCCAATGTATAAATATGGCTCGGCACATTAGGAAAAATCCAGAAAGTCATGAACATGTCAACTGAAACGTCAGGAGTGCAGTGGACATTCCAGGTGAGGGAATCATTGTTTCGATCGAAGGATCCAACGTAGTCTTACGACCGTCGTGAGAAGCGAGAGAATGACCTCATCAAATTCAAGCCACTTACGTTTCTGCGAAAATAGGGGGCGGAATGTTTATGATCTCATGCACTACTAGCCCACCCGGGAATGTTTCGAAGAAAACAGAATTTCATTCGATTTCATCTTGCAGCTGGTGCATGTTCCTTCAAGGGGGACTCCCTTGAGACCCGATGATCCTGCCCATCAATCACCTTCTTCGAAGGTGAATCCATTGCGCTGCAGGTGCGGCTGCTTTCCAATTCGTCCAAGACCCGAGTTCATGACCTCACCCCAGGAGTCCGATTGATCCAGCTTCAGTTGCAGCAGACGCTAAACTTGGCTCGGCTCGTCCTCGTCCCTCGTCATATTAGTAGTGGGCATACAGTAGCACGCAGGATTAGCAAGGAATCTAAACTTATACCCATCGGCTGGACTGTGTAACGAGGAAGAACTAGATGTGCACTCCATAGGGAACCACCACCGTAGGTCTCTACAGCTACCGCTGCCGCTGTGGTCTCCTGGCCTCCGCTCTGAGCAGACTAACCATGGAATGGCGACCATGGCCTCAACCTTCGGATGGACAATGAGCATAATTGGTGTCGACCAGCATCATGCAGTCGATCAAGCTCTGAAAGTTAGTGCTAGAGCTCATGTTCATGGCGCATGGTGATGAGCATGAGCATGAGCACCTAACTGTTGCAGCCGGAGAGGAGCTTAGCTCTAGTCCAGTCTAGTCCAGATGGGCTCTACATGTGGCTGGCTGGAAGGTGGTCTATGTCCAGCAGCAGTCTGACCTCTGTTGTGGTACATGCAGACAGCCATCCTGCCATAACCGAGGGCGAACACCTCGTCAGCCTCCCGATCGATTGTACATGACCATGAGCATCATGCATGTGCGTATGCAGATGAGCATGGAGCGAGAGAGCTCCCGAATTGTTGAGCGAGCTAGATAGATTCAGAGTTGAAAGGTCGCCAACTGGGCTCGGGCTCGGGCAGGGTCCGACCAGCTGCTGCTGCTGCTGCTGCAACGGCAGCTAGAGCTTGCTCATTCTCTTCGAAAGAAGAGCTAGTGAAATGTAACAGCAGTGACCGGGCCAGCATGCAGCAGGATGAATTGGGTCAGCATGATCGGTTCGGGTGGAATCATCCGTTCCCTAGCTTCAGAAGTTGTTAGGATTTGTGGTGGGGACGGCCCCGGGTCGTCACGAACAGTGATGAACGAATGGTGTACTTGGTGTACTTGTTCATGCCAGTTTTTTAGCGCGGTTAAAATCTGGACCAAGAGGTTTTAGTAAGCTAAGCCGCTCAGCATTCGAGGATGAGCGAACCAAGTTTCCTTTTCGATCGACGGATGTGTGCACGTGAGAAAGGCGTAGGGTCCAGTCCTCCATCGCCATCGTTGTCAATCATGCAAGTAGGTACAGTCGAAGCCCCTCGTCTACCTGTGATCTGGACAAATCTAGAACCTCACGAGTGAAACCAATCTGACGTCCTCAACCGAATGCCTCCAGCTGAGAATATGACGCCGTTCGAAATTGCACGCTTGCCACCCACGAACCTCTCTCCCCTCTCTCTCTCTCTCTCTCAAATGTCACCACCCGGTTCCCGATATCAGCTTGCAACCGCCAGCTGCTGACTCTCTTCAGACAAAAGACGTGGCGCACCTTCAAACTGGCCCTTGAGCTCAGGCACACGATCCTCGTCAATATGCTCTTTCGCTTTCTCGGTTCGATCGACGTGCTTAAAGTACTACTACTACTACCACTCGACCTTTGCCCTTTCCATGTGTTTACCAAGACCCAAGCCAAACAGAAGGCCGAAGAATAATTTACTGTCGACCTCGGATCAGAGCCAGGGAGCATATTTGGACCATTGGGTACTGGGTCTAGTGGAGGCTGCTCAGAAGCAGAACTGCTGATGTACTGAGGCTAGAGCGAGCATCAGTTACATGCATATGCATCGACCTTGATCGCCGGGCCTCGATCCGTTCCCTACCCTAGCAACATCTTTGCACTGTGCTGAAATTCACCTTCAGGGGTTCATCTTCTACAAAATTATCGATCCATTTATCTCGAACGAATCCTAACGCTTGCCTGGGCCTCGCTTGACGTGACTAGCAGTCCCCTCGTCGTCATAGGGCAACATTTTTGCTCCGGAAGAGCTGAAAATCTCTGAGAATTTCAGCTTCATGTGAATCTCTCGAGAAGATTTCTCCGTTGTGTGAAGAAAGAAGTTGAACGCTCGGAAAAACCGAATGACTTCCTCAGTCCAGCACTTCGCTCCACGTAATGCGCACGAAAAGGACCTCGATTGCTTTGCAAAATCCTGAACGAATTTAACGCGGTACAGCTCGCTTGCGGCGCCATGCTGTGGACAAAGCATTCGCCTCAAGCGCAGTGAACTGACAGAAAGATCAGCTCGGACTGAATCATACCAACCAATATAGTCCCTTCAAATCGATAAAGAACAAGCAGTGAGTGTTCGATTTGCACAATGTACATGTGCATGCAGGCCGCAATTGCAAGGCCCAAATCCAAGTTGAATCCATTTGCTCGAGTGGTGAAAGGTGCTTGATATGGGAGATCCACCTAAAAGGTGGCAGATAGTGTAGTCCAGGGGAAAGAGACTGGAAACTGTCTCTGTCTCACCGATGGGAAGTTGCAACGACGAGCCCCATAGCGGCGGAAGAATGGGGCAGAACGTCGAGCACGTGCACGAGTGGCAACAGAAGTGGGAAGGAAATGGTGGATGGACCGACCGACGACATGGACCACAAAGAGCGATTATTGTATTGGAAGGAAGCAGTGTACACCGAACGCACGCTCGCACTCCGAGGCGTTCGCAGGAGAAGTAGCAGTCGGTCTTTCATACTCTCAGGGCATCCGAACTGTACTTCATAGCCGGCCACGATCTAAAACGTATCATCCTGATGCTAAACAAAGGCGGTTGATAAAGCGATTCCGTTTGTTCCACATGGATATCCACATTTCGATACCAGACATGGAGGAATCGGCTCAACACGGTTCTCGCTAGAGTGATTGAAGCATATGAATCTCATCCCGAAACTATACCCCCGGGCTCTCTACCTACTTGTGCGACGATCGGATCGGGCTGATCCGAATCGATCCGCAGGAGTGATTCTTCGTTCCTCTATAAATACAACCTCCTCGAGGACGACGTGCTATTATCTGAGTTGGGGTGAGGCGGCCGTGATTTCCCGGAGAAACGAGTGTAATGTCTCGTACGAGGAATGGCCTTCCGACACGGACTCCGTCGTTCTTTTCCTAAGCCTCTGTACATTGTTCCAAAGCTCGTGCCGCTTCTCCTCGAACATCAGCTGGCGAATCGCCCTCTCCACCTCGTCCCTCGACACCACAATGTAGTCCTCCTCCGTGTCCTTGAGCGACACCGGGATGCCCACCTTCACTCCGTCGGTCACGAACCTGCAAGCATTCCGAATCCACGGAGTCAGTCCTGGCTAACATAGCGAAAGATCACATCATCGATCAGATCAGATTCTGCGTTTCGCGTTCACAGGGCACGGCAATCTGAATCTGCTCGGCGGAGCCACAACTGACCTGGCGTTCAGAGGCTGATCCGCATTCAAGGGCCAGGTGATGAAGGGAACCCCGGCGCAGATGCCTTCCATGGTGGAATTCCAGCCGCAGTGGGACAGGAAGCCGCCGGTGGACGGGTGCCTGAGAATCTGCCACTGCGGGGCCCAGCCTTTCTCGATGTAGCCCTGGCCCGAGGCGTGCATACGGGCTTCGAATTCTGGGGGGAGGACGGAGGTGACGGTGTGCGGATGCTTGACCCTGAGCACCCAGAGGAAGGGCACTCCGCTGCTCTCGAGCCCGTGCGCCAGCTCCAGCATCGACTCCGGAGTGATGTTGGCGTGACTGCCGAAGCAGATGTAGAGCACGGACGATTTCGCCTGCTTGTCCAGCCACTGCAGGCACGGCGTGGATGCATCCACCGCGAATTTCTCAATGGGCTCGTGCTTGCTCGTGAATCCCGGCATGCGGATCATGGGGCCGATGGACAGAACCCTCGGAGCCTGTTATCATTCAGAGCAGAAACATCTTGAATCAATATCGTGCAGGAAATCGACCTCGCACTCAAATTAATTGAACGAATCGAGGCAGGTGACGGAATTCCGGGCAGGATCGAATCCATGAAACAATACCACAATCTGAGCAAGAGAAGAGCTCGCTTGAAATGACGGCGGGTCCAGGGAAGGAAGGGCGACAAATCGAGAGCAGAATGTCGATGGAAAGGATGCGAATTGCGCAGCGGAAGGAAGCTCACCTGGAATCGCTCGGCGATGGCCATCTGCTGGAGGCGGCTGCGGAGAGCTCTGACGGAGCCGGCGTGCTCGTCCAGCTCCTCGGCCGTGTTCATGAGCAGAGCCGTCGACCTTTTCATGTTCTCGAAGTGGAGCGCGAAGTATTCCGAGTACTCGAATATCTCGCCGGTCATGTCGCGGACCCGGCCGAACGAGAGCCCGGAAAGAGGGATGCCGGCGTTCACCTTCTCGGGATTGCCCGGCGTCAGGCCGCCGCTGATGAGATTCGGCAGCTCAATGACCGACGTGGCGAACGACGGCCCCGACGAGTACAACGGAAACCACGAGATCTTCAGCTCCGCCGCCAGGTCCTGTCACGCATTGCGCACAAACGATTCACGTCCGTCAGCATCGACGCTAATTGTCTACTCTCTGTCCGAAGTCCCGACCCTCAATCTCAGGCCCTCACTGATAATGCGGCATTCCCTCCGGCTCCGAGCGAATGCCATCGGATTTGTGTGGTTCAACGAATACCCGGGAAGATGGCAAGACTGGCTACCGGGAGAAGAGTAATCTTCGGGGATTCAGACTCGGACTGGCAACCGAATGACCGGTTCGGGGCGAAAGAGTGGCGAGAGGATGGAGTGTACTGACCGCGAGCCAGTCGAAGAGCATGTCGCCGATGATGGAGGTGGGGGCTTCGAAGGCGTGACGGTCGCGGATGAGCCTGCGCTTGATTGGTTCGAAGTCGCGCTCCATGGCCTCGCTGATGGCATTGGCGCGCTGGGGGAAGCATGGGTCGGGGAAGGACGGGATCTCGCCGAACACCTCCTCGAGCCGCAGGTCGAGCCCGGCGAAGTCGCCGCGCTTCTGGAGCTTGGCCACGTCCGCGACGCGCTGCTTGTTGCCCATGACGGTCACGACCACGTCGTTGTAGCGCTCGTCCACCAGGTGGTACAGGATGTGCAGAATGGGCTGAAAGTGCCCGATGGCCGACAGCGGCACCAGCAGAATGTGCGCCCGTCGGTTCCTCTCGGTGATGGCCATCGGACTCGATCACTCTGATCTCCGCCTCCCGACGCTCTTCCTTTCCCTCGGATACTCAGCAAATCGTCCAATGGACTCTGGATTCGGTTCCCTCCGTGGATCCGATGCCGGCCAGAAATTCAGACAGAGAGAGAGAGAGTGTGTGTTGAGTGGATGGATTTCAGAAAATCTGGCCTTCCATTGCAACGCTGAGAGAGTTCTGGAGTCCGCAGGCCAGTAGTAGACCACTTCACAGGAAGCCAGCCACAGAGAGGGAGAGAGAGAGTCTGGCAGCTGGAGGACCTTCAGTGAGAGGGGGAGAGACTCTGGGGGAGGTTTGAGCTTGCTCGGTGACCGAGAGACTGAGTCTGAGTCAGGCAGCGAGGGAATGAATGAATGGATGAATGGATGATAGAACGAACGAACGAAGGAGGCAACGCAGGTAGGGAGAGGGAGAGTGAAAGAGGAAGAGAGAGAGAGAGAGAGAGGATACACAAAAAAGTTTGTGTTGCAATTCTTTGACCAGACCGCAGCTTTAAAGCCACGGGAGGAAGGAGGGCCGGGCTCGCAATCTCGGACTACAGTGTCAATTTCGAATTCAAGTTCTCGCACAGCTTCTATTCAAGAATTTGGGGAAGATTCTGACGGGAGAGGGAGGGAGGGAGGGAGGGGACGGGAGGGGACGGGCAGGAAGGAAGCAAGCAAGGAAGGAAGGGACACGAGTTTCGAGCCCAGGGTGAATCTCGAGGACGAGCGGATTCTCGGAATCTGCAGCGCAGATGAGATCCGAGGGCCGGGAGGGCTGAATCTCGGCAGCATGAAAAGGATTCCGTGGCGATGGCGATGGCAGCAGCAGAGCACAAGTCCGAAGGTGCTGGTTGTTTGCACGTCGCTAAATATGACTTCAAACACGGAAGTTTGAGAGCTAGCAGCGAGCTCCGGCTGTGGATCCCGCCATCGGCCTGGCACGAGCCGATTCGTCCAAACGGAATTGAATATGACCACATGAATCGCATTGTGCATTGAATGCATCAGGCTCCACTAAACTGGGAACCTGCATAACATCCGGAGGAATCCTGCCGCAAGCCGACGAGCACAGAGCCAATCCGTGCGGTTCGTACAGCTCGCCAACGCGTTATCCTCCGCCTCCAGACCCCGAAAGAATTTTTCGATTAGTCAAACACCAATGATGGATTTATTCGCACCTGGTGTGTCACCCGAAAGATAAACTAAAGCCAAAGATGGAGGCAGCCAAAACTCTGAGCGAGCTAGAGCCAGAGCCAGGCCTCAAGCCCCTTCCGAATCGAAATGCTTCAAATCCATCGTCTCTTCAACTTCGAAGCAAAACGCCGCCACGGCCCCAGCTCGCTTCACTCCAGCTCCAGCTCTAGCTCTCTGTCTCTGTCTCTGGTCTACAATCGTTGGGGACCTGGGCGAGCACGAACCAGGACCCGAACTGGAACCAGCGAGCTAGAGAGTGAGGCAGGGAGGCAGGGAGGGAGGGAGTAGGCTGGGGAGGGGTGGTAAGAGTAGGCTTCCCTTTCTATTCCTTCAAAAACCAATTATGAGTTGTTAGCTTCCCAGAATACAACTCTTCCCCAATAGCGACCCATGTCGAAGGCGCAAGTCAACAATTGCAAGTACCAAGAGAACTCTTGTAAGTCGGTGCATCGACTACTACAACCACCAATGAACCCGTGCTCCTCATAGCGAATAGTTGCGGAATAGACGTCCCACCATCCATGGTTTTGTCCATTCCCCCTCCGCACAGTGTTTCATAGCAAGGAAAGATATGCATCCGATCTCCATCCTTCCAGGGCTCCTCTCCTCTCGTCTCCTGCCCTCCCCTCCCCTCATCTCTTCTCTCTACCTCCATCCTTCCTTCACTCGCTCCCTTGCCTTGCTCTACTACTACTACTACTACTACTCCTCCCCTGCCATTCTTCTCTGCCTGTGCCTTCCTGCCCTCCGCTCCGAAATGCGCGTATTAGGTACATCTCCTCTCATTTCGACCACAGAATCTGCATTCTCTCTCTCTCCCTCTCTCTCCCTCCACGCAGATGGCTTTACAAGGCGAATATTTTAAGCTCCGTTATTCCCCAGACCACACGACCAAAGGAGCAATTCTGTCAAAGGAGCAACAGTCTCATTCTCTCTCTCTCCCGCTGGCTCGCTAGAAAGAGAAGGTGAACTGAGTACTTTTTGCGGGGGCCCTTTTGCGATTGTGCCGGGAGTGCACTAGAGTACAGAACGCGGAGTTTTCGTGTAAAGCTCGAGGCAGTTTTATAATGGCTGAAAAGTGCTGAGAGTGTGAGACCAATTATTGCTAAGTGCTAACCCGACGTTGCCTAATTAATTGCCCGCTTGCTTGCTTGCGTGCATGGAGGTGCGGGAGGTGCGGGAGGGAGGGGTTAGGCTGCTAGGCCACTGTCCAAGGCAGGCTGGCTCGCTCGCTCGCTCGCTCGCTCATTCATTCATTCATTCCTCATTCCCTTAGAGCACGAACCCAACTCCCAATCAGCAAAATCCTGTTTGACTCGCGCAACATGCTTTATTCTGATCATCGAAATCAGAATGCGCACTTTTCTTACAAGGATCCAAAAGACGTCGATGTGGAGAAGAGCGGGCACGGTCTCGGCGAGTCAAAAAGGTAAAGCCGAGGCATGCACTGGCTAATCATGATTCTGGCCCTCGGCTCTAAAACTACGTGATCGAAATCACTAAAGTACAAGATTAGTGGCCTGATCATCCGATAAACCCGCTTATATCTAAGCACGTACAGCCAGTCCTTACCAACAAACCTTTGCGCCTCAAATTTAGAAATCTATACAGATTATGCCCGAACAAGGATAGCTTCTAGTACGTGTTTGCATGTGAATCCGCGCCACCGGAGATATATTCATATCTTATTATGTTCTTTATGTCCCTCGGATTACAGACAATCATCCTCCCCAATCTCCTGTTCAAGTCTAATTCTGCTCTGCTCATCTCCTGTCGCCTCTGGCTCTACTTCCCTCTCTAACGCTTGCTCGCTTGCTTGCTGCCTTGCCTGCCTACGAGCTTGCCTTCACTCTACGTCATATCCAAAGTCTCCCGGAGCCAGCAAGTCAGCCAGCTAGCTTGCAGTCCCAGAGCGAGTGCTGCCAGGTTCTCAGATAATCCGATGAGCCGGCCAATTTGGATGCAGAGTGCACTGCTCTGTCATTTCGAGGTTAATTCAGAGATTCACCGCCCGCCCGCTCGCCTGTCTTGCCTTTGTGAGTGTCTCTGAATCTGCCAGAGGGCTTCGAGCTCCCTGTTGACCTTACTTATACGAACCAGGTGTACGGTGGATGTAACAAGGTGTACGGTGTACGGTGTACGGTGGCGTACATCTACGCAGTGCACGTATCCTACTGTCCACGTCGGCAATTACAACATTGTGTGCGTGGCAGGATCCTGCTTGTCTTAGAGATTCCTCTCTTCCGACTTCCTCCACAGCCCGGCACTTCGTTAGTTATAATTCAAGGATTTCCTTCCTCCCAACATGATCGTTAAGTGGTGACATGTTTGCTTACAATGTACGTTTTATATGGGGAGCGGCTAATTATCACTCACTTAGGTCTAATTAGCCTTCACACTACTATAAGTTATTTCCTTAATTGGTCTTGTCGCGTTATAACTTTCGTGGGGTGAGTAACAACTTGGCGGGTTTTATTTCTTTTCTCTCGTCAAAGATGACTTCATGGCAAACTCCATGTCAAAGTCACCCCTGCCACCTCCACACGATGCTTGACGCGCTTCAGCGTTCGATCTCCATTGTGAATGCTGTCTTCTAAACCTCCGTGCACAATGGAATTATCATGTGAAACGCATGCACCAACTGATAAATAAAGCTACCATGTTCATGTTTTGCAGGGTTGCTTGTGTTAACCATGTTCATGACCACCTCACAACACCGAGTTTGCCATAACATGGCAATCAAGTCGCCCTACACAAGTTCGATTCAAGCTCAACGAATGCTCATGGACTTCATCCCATGTGCATGTCATACTTTTGCACAAAGTCTCGTCGTGCCCAGTACCTATTGTACTTACTTTGACACCGTGCAGTCACTATGGTCGGTTCGGTTCAAGTTTAGATTTCACCACTTCGACGAAGATGGAGTGTTTTATTGGGGAACTAAATTCACTCGGCAGAGTTCTACGCATTGTTGTACATCGATGCTCAAGTTACATTGTGTGAAAATAAAATGAAACTTTGAAGGACCATAAGAGTTTCTGTCACATCCATAGATCAGACTTAGCATGCAAGAATATTCTTCACTTATCAGTTGGTGCATACGTTTCACATAATAATTTCACTGTGCACGGAAGTTCAAGAGACAACATTCACAATGGAGATCAAATGTTGAATTGCGTCAAGCATGGCGTGGAGGTGGTAGGCGTGGTTTTGACGTGACGTGTGCCACGGAGGCATCTTTGACGCAGAGGAAAAAATAAAAACCCGCCAAGTTGCTACTCGCTTCACAAAAACTATAACCCGACAAGACCAATAAAGAAAGAACTTATAGTAGGATGAAGGCTAAATAGCCCTAAGTGAATGATAACTAGCCGCTCCCTTTATTTCAGTGATTTTACTACATGTATAAAGATTCTTTCTATCAATGTGCAAGTAGCACCGGTTATACTATTTTATAAAGTAAATACATATATAAGATTTGTTTATTTATTTTATTGATGCAATACTAACGAATTTTTAGGCAATTAATTACGTTGTGGTTTGATTGATCTTATTGTTTGTACAATATTGGATAAAAAGAAAAATGATATTAAAGCTATTGAAATATACATACTTTAGAATATCTAACTCTCAAAATGGTACAAGAAGGAACTATTTCATCATCTATATTATTCATAGATATCATGTAACAAACCGATCTGCTCAACTCAAATGAAAAATTGCAGCTGCTTTGAAGTTAATATCTTTCTCCGATGACATGATATCGCATAATATGACACTGTCGTATTATAAATAGTGCATGGAAAACAAAATTGCAATGGTAATGGATAGCTTCGTAAGCGTGTAAAGATATTTTCTGACGTTCATAAGGTTATACCTTTACTGAAAGGAGTTATTTGATATCTTAAGTAATGTGAATTTAAGCATTGTTTTTTCTTTAAGTCTAAACCTGATATGACCTAAGCACACATTTGGATCAATAAGGTTTAGGTGCACAATGCTTTCATTTTTTTTCATAGTAGTATTTTAGTAATATTATAGAATATTATTCTTAAAGTATTATTAATATATCTCATCATCGTGTTGGCAATTCAGCCAATTGATTTGTAGAATAGCTCTCAACTCTGACTAGCTTAAAGGTATCCTTACATATGTTATTGAAGAAATTTTCAGATTTTCTTTTATCTTCAATAGTATCGAGCCTATACGTCATGTTCAACAGGACATGAGCATTCTATCTTTGAAAGCTTGCATGTAACGATCTCAAGGAGCAGAATAAACTTTTTCGGTTGAGGCTCAAGGCTCCATTAATTGTTGGGATCAAGCCATAGCATGTGTATGGCAGCAGAATTGTTTAAGTTACTATATTTCTCACTGAAAAATATCCTGTCATAATTTCTCTATGCTATTTTATAAATGTCACGTGTTGCGAGATTGTACATCACATATCTTATCCACAAATTTATATCAATTTAATACTTAGACTAAAATGAAATTAATCAATTACGTTTGTTGCGTATTGTAAGAGTGAACTTTGATGCTTACCGTGAACGTGAATTGGTGAAACGATGAGATTTTATGCTGGAAACCAAAAAACATAGGTTTCATGAGTAGAAATATTTTATGACCTTCAACGAAAAGTGAAGATGTTATTTGATAATAATCATATACTATGCTTTGACTTCGTATGAAGAAGCGTCGACAAGCATTGATTTATGAGTGCTAATTTGTTGCCATGGATCTGGTCGGTTACAACAGTAGAAGTGAAAGTAGTAATCTCGTGGTAAGCTCAATGGAACTTAACATGTAACATGACGCAGTCGCCAATGTAGAGACTTCCACATTATAGGAGCAAGTGAGATACATCTTAGTCACTTGGCAGAAGAGATATATAAAGCACAAAATGACCAAAGATATAATCGATATTTCAATTCTGCATGTTCCTAATTTCGATCGTAGCGCCTTCAAAACATTATCTGAAAGATCGTAGAGTAAGTATTCTACTTCAGTTAATGCTTTTATGATTGACCTCAAGAAACAGGACAATTGTAAAAATCGATATCAAACATAATCTAATCCTACTCGATCAGCCAAGGACTTCGAAGTAAATCAAACCGTATGTGATTCAATTTCGTACCTTGCGAGTGAATGGGACTTACTTTTTCCATTTTATAGGACTCAGAACAATTTTATAAAGTATCACGATGCACTTAACCTGCCACTCAGCCTGAGTTCTGGGTGCTCGAGCACATCCGTAAAATCTATCCACTAATTGAAGTACGAGCCTAACACTACCGGGAGCTTTCTGGCTTGACATGCCCTTCTGAGTGCCAGGGCCAGCGCGAGTCAGATTGGCACTTCGTTTCTGTACGTCTCTGCTCCAGATTTTTATATGGCCTCTACTCCATTGCTGAATCACACAATATTCTAACGGTTGAGGGGAGGGTGTCTGGCCATAATAGTGGCCACCGGGATTTCATCAAAATGAAATCCCAGTCGACGGTGGGGCATAACTGAGTGGCAATCCCAAAGCTGCAGGAGACGAGCCAATGGTCACTCACATGTTTCGCCCAATGGCTCTGTGTCCACAGTGCGCACATTTGGATTCATTGCTGGACTGGTCATTCTAATCATGGAGTCATCATCGCTCTTCTATCTGTCGCCAATTACTGGAAATAGCTAGATTGCAGACGGTGTGACCCGAAACGACGTCTCGTCTCGTCTCGTCTCGTCGCCCATGGAGCAGAACTTGGGCAGTCGCCAGCAGACCGACCGATTTTATTGCATAGATTTTATTCATGCACAGGGCGAGCGAGCGAGTGAGTGCGTCTGGAGAGGCTCTGTGGGTGGGGGCTCTGCTCTGAGTCAATGCTACTGCATGTCTAGAGAGGGGAGACAGAAGCAGCGTTTGCGCGCACGGTTTGACTTTCGGAGGTCGAGACGGGGATCTGCAACCAGATTCCTCAAGTGCAAGTTTCAAGACTTTCCGTTATGATCTAGGTCCGCAAATTCCTCAACTGAAGAATTTCTGAACGCTGTAGACTTTGCTTTTCTGAAGACTGCTCTCACAGAGCTCAGAGCTCAGAGTGCAGAGTTTAGAGTTCAGAGTGCATTCGTCCATGCGCAAGCCAAGTCCGGGAGTTCGGCCAAGTTCCTAGCAACCGATTCAGGAAGCTTCTGAGAATCACATGCCTCCGTATTGTGCACCAGTTCTTTCCGGAATTGCCTTTCTTCCCACCCATCATCCTCCTCATCATCATCATGTGAACGGGGCTCAGAGTGGACGAATTCTTCTTTCTATTAGGCTTATGGCATATTACCCCCGGAGCAGTTCGCCCTAGCCTTTCGTTCGGACTAGCTTCCGCCCGCGGACAAAGCGAAATTCAAGGGCGCGAGTTTTTGCGTGCGTATATTCTCTCCGGCTCTCGCGCAACTTGCCGAGATTAGATAGAAGAGGGCGGACTGGCGGTCAAGTTTGAAGCATGGAGCGATTGGTAATGATGCCAAGGCAGCCAGCCCTCTTGCTCGAGCTGCGATGCGAAGCTAGACCAAAGCTGGATCGCTGGCGGTCAAGTTGAAGGATTGATTGATTAATCGATTGATAATAATGCCAAGCCAGCCCCCCGCCTCCTCCTTGCTCGAGCTGCGCTGGGCAGTTAGACCAAAGTTGGAGCGAGATAGAGAGGGGGAGAGAGAGAGCAACTCTGCACTGCACTGGACTGAGTTGTGCAGAGCTAGGCAGGGACTGAGTGTAGGGCCATGAGAGACGAGGAGGAGGAGGAGGAGGAGAAGAATAATAAAATAAGAGGTGCATGTCGATGGAGGAATATGTCAAGCTGCTGCACGTAGCCAGAGAGTGGAAGGAATTTTGTGGGAGAGTGTGATCGTTCTTCACATGGACTGTTGCGGGATCGGGGCGTGAGCAGATATGCGGGACTTTTTCTCGCCCCAAAAGGGCGAAAAGAGACGAGCTCCAATTGCATTTGGAATGGGGGTGAGGGAATGACGCCCCGAGAGGGTCAGATCTTACAAGTCCAACCATAATAGAGGCCTTGAAAGCGGTGATGTGATTGTGTGGATCCGTCTCGAAGCAAGCACGTCAAAAGCACAGATCGTCTCACCGAGCATCGAGTCTCTATCGGTAGCGGCTACATTCCTGGCGCTCCTGCGGCTTCTGTTGCTGCTGCTGCTGCTGCTGCTGCTCGGAGGTTGGTTCTGAGCTTTCAAAATAATCCATGCGACTGGGAGTTGGAACAAAAAGAGCAGAGAATTTTGCTGGCGATCTAGACATGGTTGTCGTGTTCATGTCTTGTGGAAAAAGGAGACAGTATAACCTAATTATTGCACAACACCACATCGAATCGACTCCGATGAAAGGCCACAGCAGGCAGGCGTCTTAGAATATGGCTTGTTTATTGCGCTGCGTCCCTTTACCTTTACCTTCCCAGTGGCCGGCCTCATACAATATCCCCTCTCCCCATCCTGAACTGAGCTGCGCTGCCCTCGTTGAACTTTCAAACATCGTGCCTGGAGTCCTTTCACATGCCATCTCCTGCACATTCCCCGGCTTTTCTGGGTGTGCCTAACGTTTTAAACAGTTTCTGCATTGCTCCTCTGCTGCTGCTGCTGCTGCTGCAGTCAGAGCCTGTTGCTGGCCTAGCCGTGCCTCGAGCGCCATTCTAGACTCGCCATTCTACAGCTGCTGCACTTGTCCATGGGATAAGTTATTAATAGCTCCTCGTTGGTCCGTCGAGTGCCTCGGTCAGCCGAGATGGCATCAAACCTACCACGTTCAGCTTGTTTTACAATTGCCCTGCTCTCCAGAGTAAGTAAAACAGGGCCCCTCATGATTCTTGCAACTTGAAGCTACCGACTCTTAGACTAGTCATACTATTGCAGCGGAGATTATTGGCCCAGGAGCGGTTGATACAGTGGATTCCGTCTCGCCGTCACGTTCCTTACCAAATATGTCGTTCCAAGATACACCATTCTGTCATTGCCATGCCCCAGCCCAGCCCGACCTGTCTTCACTGCAAGCTTACAGATCGTTCTTGCGGCTTGCAGCTTGCAGCTTCCAGCAGCTTGGAGAAGGACCATAATCTCCACTTGCCTGGCTCTCTTTCCTCGACATCGTCTCACTGCACTGATGCATCCACCTGCAGCAATGGTCATGTAAATGGCCAACTTGCACGTCCAGTGTGCGATCGGATTCTTGTCGATAGACAGCCTTTGGCTTCCCGAAGAGTTTGAGGTGTGATTCATGTACTTACTTACGATCATGATCTCGACGAGCAGACTACGATGCATCCACCTGGTGTACTACTGGTACTGCCGCAGTATTGGAAGGGAACGAGGAGAGGAGAATCATCTGAGCGATCGGTGTCTTGAATCCAAGCAGAGCGTACTGTGACGTCGCTCGCTTGCTTAGCTCGGCCCAGCACTATCTTAGACTCTGCACTCGTCCGCCAGCACGTAGATACATACATACATACTACTGCATTGTGCAGAAGCTTTGGAACCGGGCCAGAAATCATGGCACCAACTGAAATTTTTTCAGCTGCATCGATGAACCACACATGCCACAGCACTTCAAGAAAGGTGAAGCTTTACACGCTGACACAACTGTTCGCACGAAAACCCTGATATTCACGAAAAGGTGATGCACTGTGGGCCCATAGCAGGAGGAGCTGATTACTTTCCCTTTTCAACACGCTCAGGTGAGTGGAGGAAGAGAAAAACGAGATTTCGTTCGCACTCAACACCTGTCAAATGCTGTCTGGCTACCTCGGCACTCAAATATGATTTTCGATCGGTTGCTGGGCCACACCTTAATTCCTCTCGTACTTCGCGTCCATTAGAGCACCCCATAATTCTCCCCACGTATGCATACTGCACAGAATCGGTATACCGGTGATAAACCAACGAAATGAGCAGACTTTTTTGTGCGGTGATTCAAATTCCGCTTATTTTATGGAAAACAATTCGTCAAAGGTCAGAACTGTGCACGTTCCCTGGCCTTGTCATTATATTATGGTCCCGAGGACATGGATGGGGGTGCAGGACTCATCTCCGTTGATTTTACAGACCCTCGACCTGCAAGCTAAGTCTGAAAATCACCCGTTCCCTCTATCTCACTACAGTTCCTAAACGTACAGAGGAGGCCATAATAGTCACGACACCTTCTCTAGAGACTCATATCTCTCTCGGTGGAGAAAGCTTTGGCAACTCTCTCTCTCTCTCTCTCTCTCTCTCTCTCTGTGCACGTTCCCTGGCCTTGTCATTATATTATGGTCCCGAGGACATGGATGGGGGTGCAGGACTCATCTCCGTTGATTTTACAGACCCTCGACCTGCAAGCTAAGTCTGAAAATCACCCGTTCCCTCTATCTCACTACAGTTCCTAAACGTACAGAGGAGGCCATAATAGTCACGACACCTTCTCTAGAGACTCATATCTCTCTCGGTGGAGAAAGCTTTGGCAACTCTCTCTCTCTCTCTCTCTCTCTCTCTCTCTCTCTCTCTCTCTCTCTCTCTCTCTCTCTCTCTCTCTCTCTCTCTCTCTCTCTCTCTCTCTCTCAACTGTACAGCTCGGATGGTGCTATGGCTGTTGTACTAGTGATAGCAGTCGCTGAAGTTTCTAAGACCTGAGCTTCAAGAGATGACATATTCGATGCCTATCTACTCCGAGTCAGCAACGAGTCAGCTGCCAAATCACCGCACCATGAATGTCAAGTACATTGATTCTCTATACGTCGTTGTCTTTACTGAAATGAGGTCCACATTCTGAGTAAGCCTCTGCATCAGCTTACTGCATTTGTCACCAGCTGCAAATGGTTCAGAATCAAATTCCGAAGGCAAGTCGCTCGATTTATCTGGGTAGACCAACAGTGACAGCGTCGCTTGTCGTTCATTTCTCCCGCATTTCGAAATTTCTAACATACATTTGTCCGTACTTCGACATTCACCTTTCTCGAACGAGGCGCAGACGATAAGTTTCAATCCGGCCGACGTCATCCCCACTGTTTGGGAAATCGTACACATATTTCGCAGTCCATGTAGTGAGTTGGGAGTCCAGTTCTGGACGAGCCAAAGTAAACCTGTGGCGATGGGAGTAGATTTCCACAGATGGGAAAAGTTCAGAAATCTGTTGCCTTTGGACACTTCTCCAAAACACATGCTGTCAGCTTTACCCGAGTCATGGTTTTGTCAGTTTGGATTTACAGCGGTAACCGTCCTTGCAGGTTTTGATTCGACCTCTCGAATCAAAATCAAACCTCCATTGTTGCCACAGAGCGGAGCCTTAGAGGGCGAGGATGGGAGAGAGACTCGGAGATGGCCGGCCTCAGGGAGTATTCGATACCCCGAAGTGGCGACAAGCAGCTGGATTTTCCGCCATTCGAGTACCATTGTGTCAGATGACGCATCTCGCCCTTCAGCTGCTGCACAGCTGGTCGATGCCGACGCTGGCATGTGATGAACTGCCATGACTCAATATTGCGCCATTGGACGAGCTCAGACTGCGGTCCCCCAAACCCTTTGACCTCCCAAATTCTCTCTCTCTCTCTCTCTCTGGCCTTAACCACTTCGGTCTCCTCCACCTCCACTCTATTCTGCCAGCAGCAACTATGAGTACTGGTTGTACGCACGCACCAACTTACGATGCCACGAGGAATCCCACTCCGACACGAAACACTATCTCATTACCCTCCCTTCCCTCTTTCCTTCTCCAGAGGACAGACAAAGAACGTGACAGATAGTGCTCCTTCTTGTTGAATGGATTCGTCGATCGATCAGAACGACAACCTCTGAAGTCCTCGATCATCTTGAAGCTACATACGGTACCACTGATAACTGTATGGTCGGTTTGAGTGGGCGTGACCAACGCACCACTCAAACTCGTCCGCCTGTCTGCCTGCCTGCCTCGATGGCTTGTCAACTACTAGTGTACTACTGCTTCTTTCAAAGTGACATCGCACCATCTCCAATCCTGACTCTTCAACCGACCACACACGAACTTTCAGAACGTGTTCAAAGAATTTCAAGCACCGCTCATAAATGCCCGATCTACATGGATGGTTCAAGCGATGACAGCCAAGGTTCATTGAAGCTCTCGATTGTAAGAAAGATCGTAATATGTACTTCGTACTCTCGTGACATTGATTGTGCTCGACTGCAGGATAACGTCGGTCCTTACAATCTCATAATGGTCAAATCTGATTCCGTCTTTCCGCTGCGTTTCCAATCACAGAGACGACGATTCTCCGTGCCACCGACGAGTTCGTTATTGATGCCGAATCGCTGAACTGCGATTCAGACTCTTCTGACGTGCAAAAAAATGGTCTGACGAAACATTTGAGGAGAGGATTTTGCGGGTCCATCTGAGCAACATCTTCCATCAGTCGCCCATCTTCATATATAACTTTCACCTTCTGGATTATAGAGGGGATCCCTCTGAAGCATAAAATGTTTTAATTATGAGCTTGACTCGGAAGAACGAGTGAGAAGTATGAGATGAGATAACAAGCTATCAAATGGATTGCACTCAGCTTTCGTCCCGTTGAATGAAGTGCTTTCCCAGCTAGCTCTGCCCACCGAGCACAGGCTTGCTCAGCTTCTGGGACGCACGGATGCAGCCACTTGCGAGGCCAGGCCAGGCCGTGCATGGTGCAAGTGTAGCGCAGATTTGATGATTCCATATGGACACAGAATCTTTAAATTTGGGCGTTTCTCGTACTGTGCGAGATCCCACATTGACCAGTCAGTGAGTGAGTCAGTGAGTTCGTCAGTCAGTCAATCGGTCAATCAATCCACAGGTTCACTGGTTCTCAATCGATGAGGAAACCTCCACCACCTGGCGGCTGGAGCCATGCGCGACTGGAAGGTGGCCAGAATGAGAACCCTCTCTGCAAGCCTATCCGACATGCAGACAAGCTGTTCTACGCACTCACAGTGAGCCACCTGAAGAAAGAGTCCGAGAAAGAAGTCAACTCTCGCAGATTCAAGTCTTCTCCCGTCGTCCTACGTGCAATTTGCTCCTCACAGCTGGACGCCGTGCAGTCTGACGTCTGACAGATCATACGGAATTAGAAACGACGCGAGCAGCCAGCCAGCCAGACTATGATTGGAGACGAGGTGGTCTGTCTGCCTGTGAGGGATGTACGATGATTATCTCTCATCACACTCTACCGACGGGCCTTCATAAGGACGCACAGGAGTCTTTCATAAGGACGCGTAGGAGCACGTCTACGAGATGTTCCTCGAAGGCCACCACAGCTCACCCGCAGCCGCCAGAGGTCCCCAGTACTTCCCACCCGAACGCCCTCGGATCACGATGGTTGAGAGAAGGAACATGGACGGATGCGGCAGTGAGGCGGATTTAATAATTGTTTCTCACTTGCGTAAGCGTTCGTCTCAGTTTTGATTAATCATCGTAATGCACGAGCGAGGGGAGGGGACTGAGGAATCATACACAGTATGTCAGTCGAGTAGCTTAATGCGGACGACGAGGGAGGGATGTGTGATCGCGGATCGGAGTCGGAGCGGACAGGAGCTGCTGAGATCGAGAGGCAGAGTCCGCAAGAGTTAAACGTGAGTGAGGGAAGAAGGATATTTCTCAAAACGCGAACAAGGAATGTCCAGCAGTCGAAGGAATGAACTTGACCCGAACAAAACTGACCTCGGGGGTTTCCACTCTGATCTGGAATCACGAAAAGGTCAGACAGATGTGGGACCGATCGTGGGGGTTTCGGTGTTCAGCAGGTCCATCTCATCCAGTTCTCGGACTTCTCTGAGCGGTCCGAGCAGCTGACGAGAGAAGTATAATTCTGGAGAACGACGACCTCTGCCTATCAGAAGGCAAGGAAGGACTCATGCCCAAAAAAAATTCCAGGCGCATCATGCGCGTGATAATAATTAGACATGCCTCTACACGGCGACCGTCGTTCTGCCTTTGTTGAACTTCCAAAATTCTTACCGAGCTGCGAACCTCAAGAATGGAACTGTTGCCAAGTCCTTCATTTGGCTTGACTGCCAATATTTGCCTGCCTCTGCAGGTACTCGAGCCATAGATAGATAGATAGATAGATAATCATAGAGTTGAGACGAGTTCCCAGAAAACAGAATTTCAGAATTCCAGTCTTGTGACGTGTGTTTAGCAAGGCGAGTGATGTGGCCTAAAAAACAAGCCAACATTGTCATCGATATCCACATCTGGTAGGTGGAGGAGACATGAGGTTTTCCTGATATACATTCTCTCAGGGGCGCGCACATGGAATGAACAAGTGGCCAGATCACCGCAAACCACGATCACAATCGGTCCGCAGGATCGGATCCCAGGGTGGATCGAAACATTGCACAAGTCTTCTGCTTTGCATCGTTTCCTAGAACGTCCAGATGTGAACGAGTCTTGTTCTCTGAAATGTGCACCAATTGAATTTTTTGTGGTTCTCGTGATTGGCAAGGCGGACGTATCCTTCTGACAACGACGGGCAATGAAGAAAAGCTTGCAATTCCAGGAATATGCCTACAATTTCCAAGTGCCGACCGAGTTCCAATTGCAAACAGCGACCTGGCTCAGCCATCGGAGAGGGCCTATTCACTGCAATAACGCAACAGAGAGAACTGTTGAAACAGAGGCTCAGGCACAGGGCGGAGACCTCGTCTGGAACTCTGAAACCTTCAAATTGACAAGATGACAAACAGAATTACCAGTCGAACACGCTGATGGTATAAACATACAGTGTACCACAGTCACGAACTTATATTATTTGAAGCAGCCGAATATTTATTTATGCTTCTGTTAAAAGTAATTATTATTATTATTATTATTAGCGCGAAAAGCAGTCTCCAACAGTGACAACAGTCTCCTGCCTGCCTGCTTAGAGATCTCTTGAAAACGGTGTTCGTTCTTTTCAGGGCTACAATGTTTTCTGTAACATCCATACCTTTTTAGGGGCCAGGTGTTAAGTGTGCTAATCGATGTGATTGAGACTTTATGGTCCATGGCAGTGCACTCTGCGCGTAGCTTACTGCCATAGATGTGTTTAGCTTATCTAGTCACCGCCAGGATTATCAATAATCGACGCGTGGAACACTTTTATTGCACAGTGGAACGTGAATTGCAGGCTGACAGGTTTGCAGTCAAATGTACCTAAAGTTCCTCAATGTCTGCACTCGTACTTCACCCCGTTGACTTCGAGCTTCTGAGCTCGTCTGGCAAAATGTTTCCGACTCTCCCTAGAATTTATGATCTTAAGATGAGATGCCGACAAGCGACGAGAAAGTGACCGAATTTAAAGTGTGGAGGAAACACGTCAGAGGTCTATGGGCGAATCTTTGTGCAAGTAAATTCTCCACTCAGCCTTCAGCTAGTTCCCTCGGAGTTCGAAGACGGCTCCGTGATTTTATCACGGATGTCATGCATCTCCAAATGTCTTGTCCACTCGCGTATGCCAAGCTGCGCCAGTAGCCTCACACAACTGCTCGCATGATAGTTGCTCTGCAAACTGTTCTTTCACTCCATCCATGATTCCATCCGATAATTGTGGTTCGGAACTGGAAAGAAGCCATCAAGACATCCGGAAATTTGTTCGCCGAGAAATAATGCCTTGAGAGGCTTAGTCATATGCCCTTCCCCCTCCCGACGCTGGCTGAAAAGCACTCCAAATCATTGGCCTCAAATGAGAAACAGTGGAATCAGTTGAGATGGCAGGGGAAGCCTAAGGAACGAACCTAATCCTCTCCCGACCTTTTCATGTGAGGACATGTGCTTTGCCGTCTAGTGAACGGAAACGGGAGCCAAGTAGATAACAAGGATGAAACTAAACAAAACGAAATGGGTAACCAGGGGCTGAGTTGCTGAATGTCATGGATGCGCTTGCTCGCCCGGCGACATGGCAAGGAGAAGGGGAAGAATTTTAGAGAAACGCGGTGTCAGTGTCGTGACTGTTGTCTTGCTTAAGGCCGGGGTAGATTCTTCGGGAAACTGTCGGAAATGCAGAGGCACACGGGAACTGTCTGTCACTGGTGAAACACTTCTCGGATGGGTTAACCAGCTGCTGCAGTACAGCCTCAGACATACAGAATCTGAAGCCGAAGCCATCTGCGCAAATCCCACATCAACCGACTTCTCCAGAATAGTCCTTGTTAAACTTTTGTTAACGTGGCTTGAAACACGGAAGATATTCCTCAGATTGCGTACGAAGACATGAAGTATTCCTGCTCTCCTTCTGCCGAAGTAAATGAAAAGAGTCGAGCCGCCCCGCCCTAGCCTGCCTCAGTACTCTGCCTTGCAGGCCCAACGGAGTCCGATGGGCGCCCAATATCGGACTGGGCATGAGAAGGCCGCCCACTATTATAGAGAAAGACCCGCTGGAGCGGATTTGTGGAGCAGGGGCACATTCACCAGGAGGGTGAGTTCAGAACTCCATGTCAAGAATCCCAGTCTCCACCTGATGGGCCTGCAACATACACACCATCGTCATCTTCGTAAGGCGTACGTGTCTAACAAGTCAACGAGCATATATTAGTCTCGGGTCGCTCGAGCTAGCGGTTTCATTCCAGGACTTGACAAACGTTTTGCAACTTAGAACTTAGACCGACTCGTAGCTGCACTGTTAAGTGAAATGTGAAATACTAAACAACTGACTTTCCCAATGAGTCTGGAACAGTAACTTGCCCCATGCCCCATACAGATGTGTGGCGATCAATGCAGAAACAGTAGTGAAAGAACTCTCAGAAATTATTTTTCTCTTGTGCGTCCGGCTGCTGGATGTTAACATATGCATTGATTGCGGACGTGGCTTTGAAGGTACAATCGCTCGTGCACATGGTTGCACTTCTTTTTACTTCCTCTGCAGATATTTTTTGCCTTCCTCTACCACATCGAGGCATTTCTCAATAAATTTGTCCAACTTGAGACACTTCTGAGGGACATGAGGTAGCCCCAGGAGTGTCACTGTCTCCCAATCTTTTCAGATAGTATCGACGCCTTGGCCGGCCACCGTATTGCTACAGCTCGTCAAGGTGCCACTTTCCTCAACTGAACCTCTTCGGCGAAATCTCTTAGTGCGGACTTTTGGAATGGCTTTTTCCCCAATCAGCATGAGAATGTGGGGCCACTGGAGGTTTTCTGCTTCTTCGTCGTACAAAGTGACAGCATTCCGCCTCGAACGATCAGTCCTTGCTTTGCTCGCTTCCAAGATCATTGGCACAAAGTTCCATGGAAGAATAGCTCGCTTCTTAACACCGCTCTTTGTGGGACCTCGTGTCACTGTTCCATCTTTCTCGTCACCACGTCATGGCGTTCTGACGGACATTTTTCTCTCTACTGCCTCAAGTTATCGTCCTCTCTGATGCACAGTGAGTTTCTTTCACAAACAATTGTCCCTCCAGGTTGTTTCGCTCTAGATCTCAACTGACAGTCGGAAAAGTCCTCACACCGCTGGAACACGCAACCACTGCATCTATCTGGCCAGCACGATATGCGTCTAGAGGCTCCCTCTAGCAAACAGCTACGAGGGTCTGGCACCAATGTGCTTTCTCCAACAACTTTTCTCGCGGCAAGGCAGCCTACTTGTCTGACTCGCATAAACCTCTCAAGTAAATTGAAAGGTCTGTCCACCACCAAGTACACGTCGAAAATCCTAATCAGATCTTCCTCTTCAGGCTCACAGCCCCTAACGAGCTTTCCGACCATCATGACACCTTTTTCACAAAGTATCATGCCACTGATGAACGACTTTTAGTCTCAGAAGCAATCATAAGCTGTCTTCATGGGCACCAATAGGAACCTTACACCTGCAGAGCTCTTCCAACTGTAGTCTGTAAAATGATCGTCATCAGATGTACTCGTCTTGCGGGTATTGCCTCGTGAAATGCCATAGACCACATAGATCCGAAATCAAACAAAAGTCCTGTCACAGGCTTTATCTGTACCTGAAGAACGCGGAATGTACTAGTTCCACAACATTTCGGGCAAACTGCCGAAAGTGGACTGCAAGGTCGACCACATGATGTATTTCCTAACGCATGAATCACATAGAAAAATGCACGGGTTTCGATTCAAGACTTACGTCTTATGATGCGTGCACCGCTTGCTCTCTGATCCCTGTTAAATGGAAATTGGTGTAAAGCTCATGGCCAAACCTTCGTATCGGATTCTGTGCAACTTACCCCCTGTACGTTTCCTTCCCAGATACCTCTACCACACATGACCTCATCAACGCGGTTATCCAGGCATCAAGACCACTACCATCACCCTCTGAGTATTGATCCATCAAGATACGTGGAGGCCCAGCAATAATATCCACCGGATAGGCCCAACTATTAAGGTTTGCCAAGACGGAACAGAATCGAAAGATCTACAATGTGATATGAGCGGTACCTTTACGTATGTGAGTTCTAAGTTGGACAGGACCTCACATAAAAGATAAAACATGCTCGACAGTGCTATGCAGACATTATAAAACCGTGTCAAGTTTTGAGGTCGCCTTGTCCCCAGATGTATAATTGCCTGACTTTCAGATTCAAAAAAATTGGCTTGTTACAACTCAAAGCAGCTTAACGAAATACTCGAGCCACTTGAAATAGTACAATTGGTTCTTAGAAGAACTTGAATGCCGAGCCGCTATATCTGTGTCGTTCTAAAGACCAGAGGTGCGGCAATGTGGGATAGCTGGTATGCTGTAATCTTCTAGCCCTTGAAAGCTAGTGGTATGTGTACAAGTTTAGAGCACATCTTTTCAAATAATAACAAAAGGACGGTGCGGCAATTCGTTTTGGCACATCCAAACGTTGAGAGAGCAAATATGAAGGCAAGCACATCCCATCAGCTAGGTCACGATACTGTATCGACAGACACTAATTTCTCACTGGGATTTGCCTTCATCGAAGAATCCGAAGCTGGGACCCCGACCGAAAATATCTGATCTTCACACGTTCACGGATATTGTATATTTCAACTTTTCCGACGCCAGATCCTGGGACATAAACAAAGAGAAGAGATCTTATAAGAGAATGCAAAGGTGACCGAGTCTGGAATCATTGAAGAAGAATCTTTACTTCATATCTGCAAACAATAAGCTTCCTCACTGTGACGAGCAAAAGATTTTGACTCAGAAAACAAGCTAGAAGAACAACATGAGCAAAAAGATCTCCAAATTTGCTCTTCGAGTTTCTGTGTCATGGGGATCGTCCGTACACAAGGGGCTCGTAGGTTTAAAAAAAGCCCTTGGCAGAATATATCAAGAAAGGTAGGCGTTGCTTCATGATGTCAAGCAAGGCTAGATTCTGTGATGTTATCTCTGGCACTGCTCAAGATATGACAAGAAGCCATTCAACTTTCCAAAATTCTTGGAAAAAATTTCAGTGTTACAATTCCACCCACATCCACCCAATCCATCGAGTAAGGTGAGCTACCAGATTCGAGGTGTATTCTAGCAACAAATTTATTAAGGGCACCTCACCTACTTAAAGCCACCTCAGAAATCGTCCTGATCCAAGTGTTTTACCTCCTCCATTTATCGAAGATCGAATTCAGATCAGAGATGTTGCTTGAGAAGGTCACGCAAATACTCCAACTGTTCGGCTTCTCCAAGTAACTCGTCCCACTGACAGTAGCAAATTTTCACAAACTTGAAATCAGTCAGAAGCCTTTCAACAAGTGCAATGACATGAAGGGCCGAACTTCTCATAAATTCAAAAAACGAAGTTGCCCACTGTTGTTGTCAACTTTAAACATCCAACGACGCTAACTATTGTTAGCATGGCTGAATATTATTCACGTGGTTAGCGTGTTCGAATGATGTATATGATGAGCAGCGATAAGAAAACTAGAAGACGGGTCCAGTCACATGAAATTACATCTGGTTCTCTCGTTCGTAAGGACATGTCTCAAAGCTTTGCAACAAGGCAAGATGAGGAGATGATTGCAGGAATATCATGACTTTAACAGTGCAAAACGTATCATGCAGTTCCTCCAGAGAAAAATGTGACCGAAGTAAAATTTTCTGATGCCACCCTACCTCTTGATACGGAATGGACAGAACGATCCACCCAGCAGCAGACAGTTGTCTCCGTTTCAAGACAGTATGACCGAGGGCTCTTCCTGTAATCCAACAGAACTGAGTCAGAGCAAGGCACTAAACCTTATCTGGCTAAGGATATCGTTATTACTCGTGTCATGTAATTGGAACATATTATGATACCTTAGTCTAAGAATAAAATGCTCCAACGGCCATCGTTAATACCTGTGTTACGAGCGAAGTGAGTGGGTCCGTCGATCTCTAGTGCAATTCTCTCTTCCACCAGGGCTGCATCCAAGGAATGACTTGCGGCGCTATATTCTCCAACCCATTGGCGTCCTGTGCTAGTCAGTAATATTTCTACATCTCTCTGAGTGGTAGATGTTGACTTCTTCCCAATTTTCAGTTTTTCCCACTCTGACTCCGCCATTGATCGCAGTGGCTCTCCAGGAAGAAGGTCCAACTCAGGATACTCCAACTCCAAACTTAAAGTGACCTGATGAAGTTGGGATAACTGCATAGTTTGACCAGAAAGAACTTGAAAATGCTTTGCGTTTCCTTGGCTCATTTTTACTATGAGGCTCCAAATAAGTGCGAAAGAGGGTCTACTTAGCTCATTCAAAACTGTGTAAGACCAGGATAAGCTAGACAGCTCGCTTAAAGTAAACTTGGCGAAGTGAGACTCGGCAGATGTCCAGTTGCTTGATAGCTCACCAGAGCCCGGAGTCGATCTCGAGATTCTTTCTTCATTGCTCTGTTCAGAGTTTTCACATTCTGAATCCAGCAAATCGAGCAGACGCTTTGCTGGCTCATTCAAAGTCGCAAAGGCCCACAAGAACTGCGCAAGCTCTTGAGGCTGGAAAGTGTGATAAAGTAAGCATGCCCTTTGGTCTAGAGCATCAAACAAATAAGGGAGAGAGTGCTGCATCGAAGCGAAGGCGCCAGCGATGTTAGCTATATGCTGGGATTGTAGATCTGAAATTTTCGACAGAGCCGCCTCTGCTAAGAGGTCCATTTCCGCCCAGTACAGAGAGCTTCCGCCTACTTTTGAAAGAGCCCAAGCTATATTGGAGATACTTTGAGCTGAGCATTGTGAGAGGGATTCTGTGGCTGCACTAACAAGTAAAGCCATTGTCCTCTTGCGGGCAAAAGAGAGTCTATCACTTTTGTGCGTGGCTTCTCTCTCCATGTGCTTCGCAATTCGATGAAGAGCAGTGGACACGTTAGTAGGACTCAAAAGATCATTGTCTTGTACCCCAGCTCTGCTCTCTAGAACGCTGCCAACTAGAGAAAGCACTTCCTCGGCATTGCTTGCTTCAACCAGACTTCTGTTCAAGTCAAAATCATCTTGACGTCTCTGCTTGCTTGTCTTTCCTGGAGATCCTGCGATATTTACAGATGAACCATCAAATGCATCAGTGAGCGTCACAATTTGCAAGTAATTATTGCATGCTGCAATCATTGAACCCAAATTGCTCTTTGAGTTTTCAACGGGTTGTAACAAAGCAGACTGTAAAATGTATAGCTTGTCCATTTCTTTCAAAGCACACCGTATTAGTGAAAATGAAAGCGACACTTGCGAGTACCCGCAACACAACATAGAGACTTTCAGTCGCAACACAAGATAAGAACCTCTGTACACTGTAAAATGCTCATATGGACAAATGCAGTATGTATGTTTATTAAAGTTTGCACATTGTCAGCAGATTTACAGTCTCACTCCTAGAGGTGAGAGTGTGATGACAGAGCATCAACAGACTCTAATTCAAATTGAAACATTGTCTGCACAGTTTAAAAAAGCTAGTACTAAAGAGATGAAAGGCGTGAAAAGAGCGAATAAACACAACATACGCAAGTAAGTCGAATTGGGACAGCACCTCGAGACAAAGCGAAAGTCCACAACTCAGAGAATGCAGAGTCAGGACTACAATTAGGACGCAAAAACTGCAGGTTTAGGACAATGATATAAACGATAGAGCAAACCACTCGGTAGCCTTTGAAACGAGACAAATTCAACTTGGATAAAGACGAACATTCACATCCCCGGTCACCATGAATCATCAAGCACGAGCTGCCATAACAGTTTGGAATGTAAGAATATCTCTAGCCAAAATCCTAGAGACAGAGAACAAGGCAGAATGATAATCAGCTGTCATAATATAGCAAAAACTGACCTCCGTTTGTACCGGAAATTAAATACCGCACCAAAGGACACAAAGCTCTTTCTGTACCTTCATGCTTCGATCTTAATATAAGTAAGATATGAATGTAGATTGAGCAATAACGATACCTCCGGGTTTGGTGACTGGAGTCCAACTTCTACGTCCTATATTCTAAAAACAAATGACAGCTACATTCATCATATATTTTAATTACACAAAACTTCACAAACAGCAAACTGGAAACAGAGATTGCGAGAACTGTGATTGACAGGATACCTTTTGGGAATCCAGACATTGGTCCCGGCCTCACGAGTCCAGAGTTTTCTTCAATCAGTAATTCCACCTCCTTCGGCCGCACGTCCTCCTGAATTCTTATCTCTCCCGCTTGACCCAAACTCTTCCAGTAATTTCCAAGCCCAGCTAATTCTTTGAGGCCTTCTCCAGAGCCAAAAGCAGCCAGGAAAGGGCTGTCCAAGGGGGGGTCCACATACGCAGGAGGAGGTGCCACAACCTTCGGGTCAAATTCAGCTCGAACCGACTTCTCGACCTTGACATCTACACCCTGAACCTTCTTCTTGCTTCGTTTCTTCTTCTTCTTCTTCGGTCGCTCGTCCACCAAAGCGGCCACCGGCAGCCCTCTCGCCTGAATGGACAGAATTGCTCGCTGCCGGGCCTTCTCGGCCCAGTCGTCCACTTTCTCCTCCCTCTCGCCGGCGGAACGCGACTCTCCATTGCCACTGACACCGGCCTTTCTGGCTCTCCCCACCTCGCCCTCGGGCCTGTCAAAATCTTCAAATATGTCCGACTCCCAATCTTCATCGAACTCCTCGTCCTCGTCATCGCTGTCTCCGTCCAGCTCGAAAACGCCTCTCCGGCTCGGCCTTCTGGCCCCTACTACTGCTGCTGATGATGATGCTGCTGATTCTGCTGCAGAGGCTCTGCCGAACCAGCCATTGCACAGGAATGTCGATGAGAACCCTCCCTTGATTCTGACTCTCGGCCTGGAGCTGACAATTGCCGAGCATCGAACGCGCGGCGCACGATGCGGACCGACATTTCTCTCGCGAGGACGGGCTGCAGCGTTGCAGCACGAGAGGGCGCTCGGGCCCCCGCAGATTGACATGGAGAATCTGCAGCGGTGACGCCCAATCCACAAATTCTCGCACGCGCGCACGATTCCGCAATTCACAACGAGCAGTGCACTCGCTTCTCCCATGACCACGATCCCGCGACGTCCCATACGAATCCGTCGTGACTCGAGATGTCGGCGCGACAAATAGGCTCAAGGGTCAGGCACACCTGGACCAACAAACGCCGTGACGTTTAAAAGCCATGGCATGACATGCCATGAGATGCCGTTCTCTTAAGAAAAAACTTTGGGAAGTACCACCAAGTCCTGCAAATAATAATCTGGACACAAGACTAGGCCAAATTATTATCAATGAAAAATATACTTCCGTAACATAATATTTCCACGTGAGAAACTTTAGTACAATATCTCACAAAAAACCAGGTGTCGGATAGAAATTGCTTTGCTCTAAAAATGAGTATTTTGCTCTATCAAAGAATGTGTGAACATTCTTTGAGTATGAGATGTCTCCTTTTTTCTTCCTCCTCATTCACCTACAATTGAATATTTACAACCGAATGAACTCCAGCATGAAAAGATCAGAACATTCAAAAATCTCACCGTAAACTCTATCATAATCTTCACAAGCGATTCTTTCCTAAATTTGATTTGATCTCAATAAAAAATCCCAGTGGTTCCATTTCATAATCATCTAATACAAATTCCAACTAGGATGGGAACATAAGGGTATATTCAAAATCATCTTTGCTACCAATCAACTATTTGCTCTCACAAATCAGAAGAACAAGAGATTCATCTCAAAAAGTCATCATTGCAAAAACGATACTGAAGGTGATTGTTTCGTGATAGTAACTATAATTTTGCAATTCTGAATATGTGCTCAAATTTAAGTTATCAATTTGAAAAAAAAATTATCCAATTTTTTCAAATTTATCAAATTTAAATCCAAACACAAGCCTAGTTGGTTATATCTATATTATCAAATATCTTAAATCTCTCATCAAATTTCTCAAAATATTCAAATCAGACATTGATACTTACATTTAAATTTCAAATTTGAATTATCGCAATCATACCACTGCAAATCTATTTATATATTGCAAGTTTTAGATATTTTTTTTTTAAGCATTGTTATCTTGTCATTTCATCTTAAATCTATTTTTTATTTCAAATTCAAATTCAAATTTTTTTTCTATCAAGATCTTTGACATCATTTAAAATCTTAAATCTCTAAACAAGTTTTTATCTTTTATCACAACTCAACGTTTTAAAAAATTCAAAAAAATTCACAATATTAATCATGAATCAAAGATCAAATATTTATGTGGCAAATATAAATTGAAAATCAAATATGAAAAGGTTATATTTATAATCATAAGTGTCAAATAATTTAGTTAATAACTTATCATATCCTTAATGTGACGGTCAACACTTTAAGAGAAAAACTTTATTAATTCTTTTACTCTAATAATATGTAAATGTATCTACATTAATATATATATATATATATATATATATATATATATATAACTAAATTAATCAATTCTTAAGCAATTTATTTAAGAATTTTGATTAATTTTTATAATTTTTAATTATAAGTATTATTGTTTGGAGTTTTGATTATACATCAACGTATTCAAGGTTAAATTATTATTGATTATAGATGTTTTATCAACTCTTATTGAATTCATTGTACGATTAATACAAAATATCGTCTTGTTTTCAAAAAAATGACATTATATTTCTATAAAAAATTTAGTTTTCATTATATGAAAACATTCAAGTTTACTAAATATTTTATTTTAATTGAATCACATAACACATTAAAATTTTTCATCATATCTTATAATCATCATTATTTATTAGTAATGCTATTATTTCAAATAAAGATAAAACTGACTTATAATATAAAATCTATAGTTCTCATGTCAACCCACGATGATTTATAGCTAAATAATAAATATGTTAATTGATTTCAACACATCAAAAATCTACATGTTTGTTAGAAATCAAAATTGAATATATCAGCTGAGAAAAAGACATGAATAATTGACAGCTCCAAATACGACTCGGGGGCTCGACTCCGACTAAAGTCCAAAGAGTAGTTCGAATCCAACTCGAGCTTCTCTCTCTTGCCTCCTCTTTTGACGAACAACGAACGCTAGATAACCCGAAGTCCAATCCACCCCAGATCCTGTCCTATCCTAGCCCCCGCTTTTCCAGCTTACAATAAATCCGAGTTCATTCCTCAGTCTATACACTACTTCAAACATTGCCAGTTCGCCTCCACGTCCTAAACCCCTCTCCAAGACTCTTCATGTCGCAAAAAAAAACTATGTAGTTTAATGTAAGGATTGGAAATCCTGACTCGATGTCCATTTTGTCATCCCGAGTCTTCATCTTTCCTCTTCTCTTTTTGTTTGAAGGCCCCTTAATCAAACAGACCTTTTTCCAAGACTCGATCAGAGAGATGTACACTTGAACAGTTTTGAGTTTTATCATGGAGCTTTGTAGCTTCTGGTAGATCCACTTGATGAATTTGTAGAACATCCACTGAATACATAAATTGCACTGTTGGAGTTACGGAGTATAGAAGTCTGCCCGGAAGAGTCTCCGCCTATATCTTATGCCATGTGTTTGAAAACTAGATCCAGAGCCCAAGATGGACATCGTATGGAGAAAGCCCCAACAATAAGAGCTAGGGCAGTTAAGAGTGTATGCGCTTTCTCATTTGAAGAAAATGAGGAAGTAAAGAAAGTGAATTATATTTCTTGCACACTGCCATGGCCCTAACGTTCTCCTCCGCCTCTTTCATACACTTCTATTTGTACTTCCACATCCTCGGGCAGTGCATCTAGAGCATACCTCCACCTTGCTAATTACTTCCTTCCTTTGCCGGTTTTCAATTTACCGACAATTTAGCTCTCAAAGCAATTGTAACTGAAAACACAAGAATCTACAAACACGAACTAAGAACGTGAAACAAACACGCATACACATCGCCACCAAACTTTTTTTTGTGATTGGTCATTCTCAAATTACTTTCACGGTAACAACAAGATAGTTCAAGGAGATATGTGACACCCCGTTAGCACGAGAGCAAGTTGCACGCTAAAGGTTGCCCAAAAGTTTGGTAGTTTATAGTCGAAATAGGGATAAATACCTTGCGCACCTTGGAAAGCACTTGGATAAACGACATGATAGACAAGGCGGAGAGCGAACACCGAGAAATGCTCGGTGTTTACGCGCGTGAGCCAAATGTGAAAGAGTCTCTCAACAAGCACAACGAGAAGATTTTTTTCAACGAAGCATGGGATTGTTTGTGTGTACTCTTCATGCACTTGCTTCATTTCTGTGTTGGTGGGCCGCGACAACGTTTCCAAATATAAGGTCAATTGAAAACAACTTCTCCGTCATCAAATGGGAGAAAGAGGACTCTTGTAGCACCTGACTAGACTTTTCTTGGCAGGTATTATGCATGCAAATTAATTTAATACGCTAAAAACTATTATCTAACCCCTCACGAAAAGTAGTGAAGTTACAAGGTCAATGCCAAAATTAAGGAGAAAAATTTGCCAAAATTAACTTCATGCTTTCAAACCTGACATTTGCCAGATTTTACACGGTATGGTGTATACACTAGAGTGTTCCACCATAATCTTTGAACTATCCTAAGTGCATATTGAAAGCTATTAAGTGAACCCAACCATAACCAAACGAGATTAAACCTTGGCTAACCTCCAAGTGGATGATTCGCCATCAACATTAAAGTGAAGCCTCCCTAACACATTATAACAAAGTTTCGGTGAAGAGTCGAAAACCAAAGTTCCATAACATTTAAGCACTGCCAATTCAATATACTCTAAGAATCGTTGCTCTTGCATAAACAATTATGTGTACGAAAATATAAAAATCTTCTAAGAAGTTCCAAATCCATTGGCTTCATTTGAACCTGCTGCGAATGGGATAATGCTTTGTTGCTGAGTTATTATGGATGGGACTGAGTGCGATGACATTAGTCTAAAATACCTGGTGCACTAGAAAATCATGGGCTACCATTTAAATCAGTAGGTTATTACTAGATGTATGGATCCATTACAAGTATTCAGATATAGTTATATACCAGATCAACATGTTATCGGGGTTACCTTCAGGTTTTTTCATATTTCACAGCGTCTTCCCATAGTTTTTTATTTTCACATGTCACTTCTTCCACTGCAATTATTAGAAGAAGGAAAATCGAGTCTTCCGGGCTGTGCTGGCGGCGCCTGCAGGAATTAAGCATTTGGTGTTCAGACCCGATCTTGGTTGAAAATGCTTCTCCCGACCATTGAGTATATATGTTTACTTCTCCTTCTGGAAGTGTGCAGTGATTATTTCGGTGAGTGCAAGTCACATTATATTCCATCGAGCAAAATAACGTCACGTGATGCGGCGTGGATGCTACATCGTTTTCGAATCATCATCTAGATAAATATTTCTCATGGTGATAGTACGGGTCTCCCTACCCGTTTTGTTATCTACTAGGCCGGCCCCCTTTCCTCTACATGGATAAAATAACTCAAAGGTACATCGAAAAATTAACCTTGGAAAAGTAATAACCAGATACCTGAATTTTCTCCAACTCTACACGTGTCAACTGCCACGGTTAGCCAAGTGTGTCCACAAAGGACAGAGCCACAGAATTAAGTTTGGATGGGAGAAAAGCCATCAAAAGTGAAAGATCAAAGTGGCTCGCAAACTCATGGAGAATGATGTGAATGAGAAAGAAGCTTTCCAAAGTGGGATGTCGAAGCAGCCAACGAGTTCATGTAAAAGAAGTATGAGGAGTCAAACGCTTGGAATGAGGTTCGGATGGCAAAAAGGCCGTAACGAGTCTGGGTAGAAGAAGGTCATGTTCCGACTGCCTCTTCGATTCGGAGTTGTAGGGCCTGTGCTTGCTATTGTTGTCGATGGTTTCCATAATTTCTTTGTTTTGCCCAAGAATGCGCTTCTGAGCTGAAGGCCCTGCAACTTCTCAGTCACTTCAGAGTGCAGTTGCGTTGTTTTGACACCTACATCAGAGAACCGAATGCTTCTTTGAATTACTAACTCGGTCAAGCACGACTCCGCAGCTGGAGTAATCTATGATTCCGCATTCTGTGTAAATATCTTCGTTGAAATTGAAATGCAAGTATTATTTGAATTTCACACTGATCACTTTTATTTATCATAGCGTCCCTCATGAGTTTGGAGCGATAACAAGATATATGAAGAAAAAATTAATTAATGTACAAATTTGAAGTTTGTGACTCTGATACATTAGATTGTGTTAATCAAATTGTAGCTAAATCGCATATTCTTCAAAAACCCCGGCAATAAACACAGTAATCAACAACGGCGAACAAACTCAAGTTATTAGTCTGCGGTATATATAAGTTTCGCTTTGTCTAGCTAGCTGTCTGGGGTAGTAATGAAAAATAGAGACGTAATCTCGAATGAGTTCTTTAGTAGCTGAACATTACAAAAGAAACACCAAAACGTAAGGTGGGAGGGTAAAAGCATCCGATTCTATAAAAAGAATATGACGTATTATCGCGTCATTCCTAAATATTTCACTCTCTATTTCGAAATCTCGCTATACAAAGGTGACGAGAGAGCTTCTCAGCTCCACATTTAAACAGAGTCTTTGTATTTTGGAGAAATGGATCAAGGGCATGATTCATGCCATTTGCAACACCTGCCAATCGTGAGTCAACACATGAACAATCGCAAAGGCTTTCGATTGCCTGTCTCCGAAGCCTTTTCAGCATGATGGACTCGGTCATGAAAAGTCGAAGATCTGCTGAATGGATAGCGTAGGAATCTTTCCGGTGACCGCTAGCGTGTGATATGTTCTAACCAAGATTCCGATTCTACCGCAAACATGCCAAAATCTGAACGCTGCACACAAGCCGAAGGAAGTCAAAGGGATGACAAACAAAGTGGAAGATTCTCGTTTTGTATGGACCAGCGACGCTTCAGAAACGACATAACCACTTACCCTGTTCAACGCTCGGAGACCTCATAAAACTCATCTGATGCACAGCAGTCTGAACAATATCGTTCATTTTCCCTCTAGTAATCTATTCCAGGCTTCTCGGATCCTTAAATGCCGTCAGTATAGGAAACGTGTCGACCCATATCAGCATTATTAAGAAGAATTTAGTGAAAAAAGCTTTTGAGAAAATGAGGAAATTCAGATGGTCAAAGATATAGTCATCTCCTTGGATGATCAAGGACTACAAGGCACTGTCGTGTCAAATGGGAAATATGTATTTTATAGATGAGGTTTGAAAGCAAGACGTGCAGGAGCACAACCGAAGGAGCTCGTTCCGTTCAGGTCAAGTTTGAAGTCATGAACGGCGTGAGCTGTTTCGAGATCTCGCTGTCTGAAAGCTCTGTCAAATCTAGCTTGCACTGGAGCACTCTGAATTCTCCGTCTTCAAAGTAGTGATCTCCTCGTGCCCTGCACAGATTGCAGTGTGTGAAGAGATGAACATATGGTCGCAAGCAGCGGATGGTTGGAGAAGCAACTCATGTTGCGAATGCTGGGTATCCAGCTTCTCTCGGCCCAGTCACGACGTAAGGAACACGAACGAACCTGAGGAATAGATGCTGCGAGGATGCTCCGGGTGAGTTGAAAAAGTCCAGTTTGCTCACAGCAGAAAGACTTAAGTATCGTGATGATGTGCTGGAGGATAATCTGGGCGCAACAGTTTGCGCGGGCGTGTCCAAGTTCTGCTGCCATTCTGGCCGGAGGAAGAGACGCGTCTGCGAGACAAATGCGCTGATGTCTGCCATAACCACGAAACTGTACATCCAAGCTCGTAGACTACAATGATTGCTGCAGGAGACAGCTGCTCCGAGATCGAAAAGCGATAGATTCAAAGACATTTGGCTTCCGTCGATTGAGATTTCCGGGAGAGAGTGACGCGGAGACAAGATGACCAGCGTTTACTCGGGTCGCGATGCTCCTAATCCGACTGGCAGTAAAGTGCTGACAGTATTCACAATCCTGACTTTGCTTTGCGCAGTATCTGTGTTGGTCACTTGGAGTGTGAGCATCCCTCCCGTCCTTATCCAGGGATTCTCCTTTGGATCCAATTCAGACGAATCCGCTCGTGGTAAGAATTCTCTGCTCTGCTCTATACTCATTCTACCGTGGTGTACTCAGTCCTGCAATTTCCCTCTGCTCTGTCGACGGTACATGTCCGTAATTGTGTAGATTTTTCTCCATAGTTTGTCAAGATTGGGCTCGATGATGATGGATCCTCTGAGTTCTGCACACACAGATGGATCGGGTAGCAATGAGACAGTAATGATCAGAAGAGGGACTTGTCGTGTAAGATCGGATCGAGGTGGCAGGCTGTTGTTATAGCGTGGCTAGAAGAAATTCCATGCTTTCGTTTAGACTGCTAGATTGCCCTGTTCACTCATGGAAAGGATTGCGTGAACAGGGAATTCTAGCAGTCTAAAGGAAGCGGATCCGTTCAATGACTGGACTCAGCGATCGAAGTTCTGGTGGAGAAACCATTCCCTGGATCCGAACTGGAGCGGACGACAGCGGTTGCACGACGAGCTGAAAGATGGCGTTCTCTGGTTCGACCAGGATCTGGAGGACTACTTCATCTCCAAGCTCGAGGCGAATCAAATGCCTTCCAACTGCAGCGCAAACTTTTGGATCGCTCACCGCACGCCGGATTCAGGTCTGCTCTCATGCGTGCATACGTTCATCCCCGTGCTCTTGATGGGGATGGTGAAAGGGGAGGGCTACACCGTCGTCCCGATTGCTCAGACCACCATTCAATCTAATCTCTCCACGTTCATCGGCTGTGGTGATCAGAACGACAAGCACGTCGGATGCTTCTTCAACGTCACGAGCTGCAGTCGCAACGATGATCCGATCAGGAACGAACAGATTGTTCATAAGAGTTTGGGATTCAGAGGAGCGAGTTGGGACTCTCTGCTCAAGACTCAAGTCACCGGGCAAGGAGGCATGACCATCCTCCGGGACTTTCTGTACAGGAACGAGAAAGCCAAGGATCCGTGGAGAGCACCGAAAACGAGGCTGTGGAAAGAACTGCTGGAGCACGGGTCGGCAGGAGTGCACAACAGAACGTCGAAGGTCGCCAAGAGTGCTCTGCGCGACGGCCAAGTTGATTTCGCACTGATGGCGATGGTGAGCGCGTGGATGATGAGCAGAACCTCGACAAGCGTCAAGAACATCGCCCACCATATCATGGCCAAGTATGCCGATTCCAATGGCCGGCCTCTGTGGAGACCGCCTGTCATCGCCATGCACATCCGACAGACCGACAAGCGGATGGAGGATCCGTATTATCGAGCCCATGGCAAGTACAGGGGAGTGAGGGATTACGTCGATCTTATGAAGACGATGGAGACAAAGCATGCCTTCCAATGGGCGTCGGTGTTCATCATCTCCGACTCGGGAACTGCCATCGATTCGTTTGCCAGGGTCCTCAATGGAGTGGGCCTGGGCAGAGCTCCTGATTCCATGAACGGCAGAGACGGGAAGCGATTCATCATGTATGACTGGAGCTGGGACGACAAACTCATCGAGCGAACGGGAGGGCATTTGGCGATCCCTCCGCCCATGAAGTTCGCAGCGCAGGAGCATTTTCTGGCCACTCTGTACATTATACACAAGATCGCAGACTACGCGTACGTTTCATACAGCTCCAATGTAGGAAGGTTCGTCGGTGAGCTCGTCGGGGCAAGACATAAGTTGGCCATGGAACTTCCACTGGGCCCAAATGCTTATTCTTGGGATTCTGCAATCGGATTCTAAGCTGTTGTTCCACCCCACCTTCATAATGGGAAAAGACTCGAGGCAAGAATATTGTGTTGGCCTCTGGACTTTGGACTCGGTCACTCGTCTCGTTTTCTCTCTTTCTTGTATCTCGACCACGCCCTCGCAGACTGCAGCATCGACTGAAATTGTGAATCTGCTCGTCGAGTGTCGAATGCGTCGCAATTAGTTGTTACCCCAGACCACCACGGAACATCTCACGAGCCTCGAAACGAAAATCACTCGACGGGCTCAGCGGAATGGAACTGCACATGGTTCCGGTGTGGACCTCGAGAGGACGAGTGCCACGGTAGAATTGTTCATAGCGTTGATCCTCGGTCTCCAGATCGAAATCTCTCGATCAACTCTTGAATCACTCACGCGATACCATCGAGTAAATTGTCTTCGTCATTCATGACTTTGCATCGAGAGTGTTCAGGACTGTCAGTCAGTCAGTGGCTCGTCACTGGCCGGAGTAGTCAACGATGAGGAGAGACATAATTCCCAAACACTTTATTATTTGATCATCCTCGTCTATCCTGAACCACAGCCCTTCATTCTTCATCGAAATAGAAACTAGGCTTAATGATTTTTCTTGGGACGAAGATTATGCAAGCCTCGATTTTGTATTCCGTCATCTTCGTACTCGAGTGATAGAAAGAGCAGGGAGTGTATTTTCATTACCTTACAAAGAGGACAGATTAATACTTACAAGACAGTAATCATTGATAAGTAGATCCTTTAATATTGATAATTAGATTTTGTAGTTGTTTTAAGATCTGTTTTCATTATGGTACTTTAGAGCCTAATCCTCCATTTTTCATTCATTTTTTCCTTGCATCACTTGATGGGATTTTACTATCATTTAAACTATTCACTTGGTCATTTATTTTTATTTTTTTAATCTCGAAGCGTATTTTATACCACTATATTTTATACGTAGCCTAGTGTTAGGGATCTTCACATAGAATCCTTGTTGTTATAATCACTCGTAGTTGCAATCCAACATATAGCAATCACATCAAGTGATAAATTCTGGAATGCTATTATCAATCAAATTGCAAATAAAATTTCAATCAAAAAAAAAACTATTTGTAATTAATTAATTAATAATCAAATTAAAACTAAATAGTAAATAGTAAATAGTAGTAAATATTAGTAACTAAATTTTAATTTAATTTAATTATCAATCACATCAAGTGATAAATTAAATATTATTTATAAGAAATTATTTTATCAAAACGAAATATTTCTCAATCTGATATTTAATGTTAATTTGTTCTTTCATGTTATGCATTATTCAACTATATAGATTACTTTATCACATTGAAGATTTTGTCTACAAAATATCAATACAATGTTAGTCAAAGTTAAAGATGATCAAATAATATTATGTTTTGGTTTAAATTTCATGTATTTGAACTTTGTAATTCACTATCAAATGCTATATTACAATAATTTCAAAAATTGAGTTTAATCTCAATAATAATAATAAGTATTATTACTAATACTGAAAAGTTATAGATAGTAATAATAATAATGATTAATAATTACTTTTCGGTATAATGCATCCCTAACAAAATGATACCGGATGTACTACATTCTCTTGTACATCAATTGATTTGTAGCGAGATGTATTGCAATCTATTTATCATGATGAATATTGATAATTTCATCTTTCAATCTTATCTTAGTGATAAGTAGATTCAATCAAATAACTACAATGTAACATGTTTCTACATAAAAATCTTCATTGTGAACTGAGTTACTTATTTGCAACTGTAAAGAATGCATCAATCATCAAATAAAAAAACGTATACATCTAGAATTTTTCTTGTCTAGATATAGTCAACATCAACGTAACATAACAAAATTTGACATTGTCTAATACATCATCACATAGATATTATATTTTTTGGTGTTCTTTGATAAAACAATCTTTAATACATACTTTATAAAGGTTTTATTGATCTGATTTGATGATATTCTAGTGGATAATTCTAATTGATGTGTATCGTGTAGTTTAATTATTTTAGACTCACCAGAGAACTTGCTCCTCAATTTCTTGGGTTTAGAAACTTGCTTCATCATTATTGGAGTTTTTTCTTGTGTCACATTATAAAATCCATAATGATCAATTTTTTCTTAGAATACCTCAATGAGTGAAATTTTGTTTATACCCATCTTCTTCTTGTTTAATGATTTGTATTCATCAATAGAAAAATCCAGATTGACTATTACTTCATAGTGATTATCATAGCATATTCATACTCTTCACTCTTAGCATATTAAAAAAAATCGTTTGTTTTGGATGTACTATAGCTTGATGTCACTTTTTTTAAATATGCAAGAATAAAATGTACAATCAATCAAATTGATCAATTACAATGCCATGTTGATAGTTTTAACCTTCAATTCATATGATATATGAAGATTGGTTCAACATAATGTTCATTTCTCCAACAATATTAGATAGAATATCTTAAAATCATTATTTTCGTGAGATATATTAACCATGATAATTTGATAAGAAATTCAATACTTTTTGTATTAACTTCAAAAATTTTCAAAAATAAACATCTAGTCATTATTCATATTTATATTGTGATCTCTATATTTGACTTTCATCCAAATTCATCTTAGATTTATTTTGAAAGTTCATCATGATTCTAGAAGTTTGAATTTCATCTACATGTATGTGTTTAAACATATTGTCACATGTAACACTAGGGTTTAGAGAGAAACTCACTTGAAAATGAAAACATAAACTCTGAAGATGAGAGATACCAACAATGATTCTACTTTCCCTTATATAGCTATTCCCAACAAACACAAGAAGATAAAATCTTATACCCACCATCCATCTCACTCCTAGTGGAGGGATGACATGGCAGATAACCCTAACAAGCACACGGATTATTGACGTGACGCTTCCAATTAACACACTAACTAATACACTCAATCCTTGTCTAACAAGCAGACGGATTGCTGACATGGCCCTGGCAACTGTGAGAAGCTAAGACTGCTCCTCACAGAAAATTAACTAGATTCTGCAATGCTTTTTAGTTGACAGTACCTCTTTACTAGGAAGTTGACGGAAAAAGAAGAGTGTAAGTAAACTAGAAAACTATGTCAGAAGTAGGTTTGATAAAATTGTAATAACAGTATTGGAAAGTTAGCTGGACACGGACCTGGTCTTCTGTTTTTTTTGAACCAAAAGAATGGATCAGGTAGATTAGATCCAAACATTCTAAGTTTAGATCTAGGTATCCTAGAAGGCTTGGATGAGGGTTTGTACGACAGGCTGCTGGCAGTTGAAAGCGGTGAACACATAGTCATCACCTGCTAAGTTCTCGGCAAGTGATATCTCAGGTTCTTTTTTGGTGGCGGCTAGGGTTTCGAAGACAATCAAGCCGTCGCAGTTAGGTTTAGAGTTGTAGTATTTAAACCCTCTTGGGGATTTTGTTTGGGACTCTTCTTTCACCTCCTATGCAACCTGGTTCTGTTGAAGCAGTTCTTTTGTTTTCTGCATACAACGTCAGGCTCAAGGTCTTGCCGGTTCTGTGAGTGCTGCAAGGCCGCATCCGTAAGTTGGTGGAAGGAAGTCCCGTATTCAGTTCTAGAGAAGGAGCGGCGATGAATATGTTCTAGTGTGTAGTGGGAGAGTCTCCTCATTGTCGTGTTTACCTATATAACGTCTGTGTGGGATAGCTGCTGCTAGGACTGGGTAGTATCCAGTGGGGTGCTCCGGGTAGGGGAATTCCAGATGTACGTCAGTTCGACCTTCTGATGAGGTCCCACAGTACTTGGACGGGGTAGTTCAGGAGATGGCACGGGGTTCTCACTTATCCTATACTGTTCAATCTCCCCTCTGAATCTAGATCTGGATGTCGTTGTAGTGCTTAGTTGGAGTTCGTGGGGATCTTCTGCGTGACCTGCTGATTCGGAGCTAACAGTCCGGAACAGTTGTGAGAAGGTAATCACACCTCTGGTTTTAGTTTTTTTTTAGTTTTTATTTTCATAGTGCCTCTTCCGGCACTTTAATTGCTGGGAGGGTAGGTGCCATCCTTCCACAAGACAAACGGCAGCCTCTGATATAGAGGTAAAACTTCTATTTTATCACTCGTTACATTTGTTGACCTTGGTATCCGAAAAGCTAATAGCATCTGAACTGCACGTATAGCTTTGGTTTTTGGAATATCATTCGTGAGGTTTCAACCTCAGGTCATTTTTGTTGTACTTCCGGTTTGTTGTCCATAAATACCACATCTGGAAACTACGTCTACTCCATCTACTTCACAGGATCCCCGGAACGAACACTTGAGTCTTTGTTAGTAAGTTATTTTTTCAAAAAATTTGCTAGTTGAATGCTTCCAATGCTATCGTGTTCGGACAGCAACTAACACATTTAGTCTCTACCTACCAAGCACACGGATCGCTGACGTGATAGATAAGACTAGTGCGAGCTAAAGTAACTATATAAACTTTTGAGTAATATCTACTTTAGTTCTAATCAATCAAAGATGTTTACATTACACGATCTCCCTATTCATCATTCAACTCAAACTCTCATCAACAATCCAAGATAATTTGCAAAGTCAAATAATTCATTAATGAAACAAATACTCATTTTTTTCCAAATTAATTTTAGAGGATTTTTCTACCTCTTTATGTATATTATTCAAGAAATTACTATTATGTTGATATTATTATTATATTATTATCTAAATCATTTCCACTAAAATTGATCTTGTTGATATGATTAATTTTTATGAAAAATATCATGTGGTAACATGTCATTTGTCTATTCAAATCTTCTAAAAGCTTATTTGTACTTTAATTGAGATGACCACATGCTAACATAAAACCTAAATAATTAGAGTACTTAAACCTTTTAGATGTTATATTTGCCTCTAAGTCAAATTTTAAACTTGATCTTACAAATGAAAAATTCAATGTCTAGTCAAATCACTCAAAACTAATATGTATTTTAAAAAATTTCTCATTGGAATCTAAAATTTGATAGAAGAAAATAATAATAATATTCATGTAAAATTTTTATAATTATTTCTATTATCTTGCCAAATATGAATGAATTAAGATTCAGAAATAACTAACTAGATTTAGTTATAATTATGCTAATCAAGATAAAATTTTCTGATTAAATTTAAAATTAATTTTTTTATGCAAGTATGGATATTACATTTATTTTTAAATCAATATTTATTTTGTCCTTTGGAAAAAAAGAATATGAGGATTACTTTTAAATATAACAATATCAAAGTATTTGAAAGAAAATGTTGTCTTTATTCAATTGTATAAAAAACAAGCAAATAACTCAATCTATCATCCATAAAGGTGAATATTTGTTTTTCAAATCATTCAATATTTTCACTTGTGAATTCAAATTTGTGCTTACATGTGTTTTTAATTTGATAAAAGATTAAAACTTAGATTAAACTTAATATGATTAGACCCTAAAGATTAGACTAAACTTAATACCCAAGAGGATAAAAAGAATAATTTGTTTAGTACAAATTAATTTACAGGCTTGATGATGAGTTACTTATTGCTAGAACATTAGAAGAATTGAGTTAGAAATTAATTGTGGATTGTTAAGTGCTTGTAGTGTAGAAGTATTGAGTTTAGTTTTATTTGTAGTTAGTTATGTACTTAAGGTAATGGTAGCAAAGATTGAGATTAGAGAAAAATAGAAAGAGAGAGGCGAGACAGTGAGATTAAACGAGACGAAAAAGGCCAAATTGCTTGTTCATCCAGCAGGTGCAAAGTATGAGGTAGTTTGATCCGGTG